TCCGTGTTCTGAGCAGGCCAATGACCAGCCTTCTTCCAGTCTGTACTCTGCAGATTCACCCGAGGCTCCTCACTGGCCGCCGTGATTTCGATAATGAGGGTTAGGGGCTCTGCCTGCCTTTTAACCAAAGCACCTCAAGTTGTTTTGAGATGGTCCATGTTGCCTAGGCTGGTCTTGAACTTGTGATTCTGCTGCCTCAGCCTCCCCAGTAGTTCGGATTATAGGCATGTGCCAACCATGCCTGGGGTAGAAGCTGTTTCTATTGGTTTTATTTATATGTGGATTCTGGGGAAATCTAAAGCATTTCTATTGGGGAAAAAAATTCAAAAGTATTTGAAAACCACTGTCCTGGATCATGCTGCTCCTAACACTCAGCCTCTTCACATGCCACACCTCATGGTGCCAGCCCTACTGCGCCCTGAGGGGAGACTGACTGCCGGCACACTCTCAACCTGTAATCCTTGCTTCCTTCCCGCCCTTGTCCACTTCCCTCCTCTCCCCAGCCCATCATCTTCGTTTCAGACCGAGCAAACAGCAACAAGGAGCTGGGTGTGGACCAGGTGTCAGAGGAGGGCAAAGACAAAACAAGCCCTGAGAAGCAAGAGAAATGCCCACAGGTTTCTGTGCATGTGGCATGAACGGGGTGGCTCGTGCACAACAGGGCTTCTCCTGTGCTCCCATGGGGGTGTGTCTTCACCGTCTAGAGCGCATTCCTCCAGGCTCTGGGATGCTGCCCGGCAGATGACTTACAGGAGTGCAATGCGGGCTGGGTCTCCCGACTGGGGCAAACCCCGCGGGCACGCGGACAGAGGGACTGGCAAGGGCCGGAGACCTGCTTGGGAGAAGAACGCCTGTCTTTAGTCTTTGAGCTCTTGACAAAGGAGCCTAAGTACCGAAAGCCGGGGGGGGGGGCTACTGATGGCAATGGGGGTCCTCCAGAGTGGAGGAGAGGTCACGGAAGCTTCGTGGAAGTGGGGCTAAGGGTGAAAAGTTCGGTGCAGGCCTGTGTCCTTTGTTGTGGAGGCCATATGCAGTGGGGTGGAGAACTGAGCCTCAGTGACGGAGGCGGATGGAGGAACTGGAATGGTCGGCCTCCTGATCATTTGGTTGGAACTGTCTGGTTCAGGACCCAGGAGAAGGCTGGGGGCGGAGGGGGGGGGGCAGGCGGGAGCGGTCTGCTTGCTGGCACAGTAAATGTATCTGAGCGGACGAGGTTCAAAGAGCCACTGAGGCCTAGATGGTTCTCACTCCAGCTCGCCAGATTGGAGTAAGAAATCCCCATGCCAGCGCCTGCTGCCACCTGGGCTGTTTGCCTGGAGGAGCTTTCCTCCTGGTCTGTCTGGCCCGATTCCCACAAGTCCCCCATTGTATTTCCACAGCCCCGGCCTGGCAACCCGGACCAGGAGAGCGAGGAGCAGCAGCAGTTCCGCAACATTTTCAAACAGATAGCAGGGGATGTGAGTATCTCCAAGCCAGGGACTGACTGCCCTTGTAGGTCAGCTGCCCGTGACTGGCTGTTTCATTACTGCCCAGAAGAGGGGGTTTGCCCTGTATGTGTGCAACACAGATGCCCACAAGCCCTTGGGTTTTAGACGGACATATTCACTGGCTCAGAGCCCTCTGGTGTGAGCTGCCCACACAATGTGGACAGCTGAGGGTACAGTACTGGGCACTGTCTCCCCCCTAGAGAACCCCCAGCTCCCCATGACATAGCAGCACCAACTGGGACTACACAAATGTGGACAGCTGGGATTGGTTTTGCAAAGCCTCCGCCCCACCAGCGGCGCTACCCTTGAACGACTCCCCTCCCTCCCTCCCTCCCTCCTCAGGACATGGAGATCTGTGCAGACGAGCTCAAGAACGTCCTTAACACAGTTGTGAACAAACGTGAGCAACTGAGAGCAGACGAAGGGGATGGGCAGGGAGTCCAGCTGTCTGAAAGCAGCTCCTCACTCTTCTCCATCCCCCCAGACAAGGACCTGAAGACACAAGGCTTCACGCTGGAGTCCTGCCGCAGCATGATCGCTCTCATGGATGTATCCTTCCACCTGCTGTCACCTGCCCACAGGGGACAGGGGGGGAAAAAAGGAGTGTCCCGTCAGAGGGCCTAAACTATGCCCCCCCAAAAAGACTTGAGACCCTGACTCAGAATATCCTGGTTGCTGTTTGAAAGGGGTGGTAGCTAACCCCACCCTCAGGCCTGAAATCCTGCCCCCATAGAGGATAAAGCTGGGAGGGGGGTGAGTGTGGGTAGTGGGTGAGCAGCCTCCCAGACTCCCCCTCATCAGTCCCTCCCAGTGCGGGGGGATTTCACTGTGAGCCCTTGGCCCTGACCGCCCGCCTTCAGACAGATGGCTCAGGGAGGCTGAACCTGCAGGAGTTCCACCACCTGTGGAAGAAGATCAAGGCCTGGCAGGTGGGAGAGGGAGGTGGCGCTGGGGCGGAGGGGTTGGTTGAGGAGGCGGTACTGGGGCGGAGGGGTTGGTTGAGGAGGCGGTACTGGGGCGGAGGGGTTGGTTGAGGAGGCGGTACTGGGGTGGAGGGGTTGGTTGAGGAGGCGGTACTGGGGTGGAGGGGTTGGTTGAGGGATTCAGTGTGTGACCTTGTCTTCAAATTTGTTTTCAGAAAATCTTCAAAGGCTACGACACAGACCATTCGGGCACCATCAACAGCTACGAGATGCGAAACGCAGTCAACGATGCAGGTGCCGTGGAGGGGTGGCCGGCAAGAGGAAGCTAACCTGAGGGGAGCAGGAATGGAGGGGAAGTGAGGCTGCCAGGACGCTCATCCTCCTTCCTGAGGCCAGCGGGCAAGGGCAGGGAGAGAGCTCAGCTCCTCCGCTACCGTTGCCTCCGCAGGGTTCCACCTCAACAGCCAGCTCTACGATATCATCACCATGCGCTACGCAGACAAACACATGAACATCGACTTTGACAGCTTCATCTGCTGCTTTGTCAGATTGGAGGGCATGTTCAGTAAGTGGGAGTGGGGGGGTACCATTCAACACTCTCGAGCTTTCCCGGCCCCTCCCTCCCCCAATAGGGACAGATAATCCAGTGTCCGGGCTGAACAAAGACCAAGGCCGCTCTTGGTCCAGGAGAGGATGGCAAGGAGAGGGTCTCTAGCCATGTCACCTGCAGATATTTGTGCTGAAGGACAACACGGCACACATTTCCTTCAGGGGACGTGGAAGTCTGTAACCGGCCTGCGCATTCTTTTTTACACAGGAGCTTTTAATGCATTTGACAAGGATGGAGATGGTATCATCAAACTCAATGTTCTCGAGGTAAACAGACCTTGCACATTCTTCCTGCACCATAAAGCCCATGACAGTGCAAGACACAATGTTCCTTACTTCTAGAGAGTGGCGGAGGAGGGATGGGTAGGAAGGGACCATGAAGCAGAGAAACTCAGCAGGGAATGTGGTTCATGGAGATCATGTAATAGCAAAAAGCTCCAGAAAGGCCTCAACCCCTAAAATTACCTGACACTAGAAAACATGTACCTCTTGAGACCACCTTGGGAAAAAGGACATGGCAAACAGGCTCCTCCTTTGAAAATCTTGCTGGTGTCTATTCCCTCCCTCCCTCCCTCCCCCCCCCCCCCCAGCTGTAAGATGCGTAGGGCTGGGCTGCTCTGTCCTTGTCTACGTTCTGATCCTGGGACTTCCTCTTTCAGTGGCTGCAGCTCACCATGTATGCGTAAACCAGGCTGCCCTTGTCCAAGGACATGCAGGATCACTCAGGATTCCACTGTATCCAGTATCGCTAGAGGCAATGGCCTCCAGGTGCTTCCCCGGTCGGTTCTCCTCCACGTCCCTCTATCTTGTCTTGATGCGTAGCCTGACTTTTGGAGCACACCTCTGTCCCTCTGCAAGTGTCTGCCTCTGCTAGGTGCAGTGTGTGCAGAGGTCTGCTGATTCTGAAGCAAACGCTCTCCTGTAGCTTGTAACAGGCTGACTGCAGAGCAGCCGCTAGAAGCCCATCACCTGTATGCTTTCCCACTCATGGGACAATAGCCAAACTTGCACTTGGTTCTGTCTGACTGTTTTAGGATGGGCCTGGCTCTGGGGTAAACAAATCCAGTGGAACAGGGTTGGATACTTTGAGTTGTCTGACTCCTAAGTTTAGCTGCATTCAGAGAGAAGTTGATCTAAATAAAGGCATGTGTACAGCTGGTTCCACTGTGTTTTGTATCCCCACATTTATCAGCCAGAGCAGGACTGAATACCTTCCAGTAATAAACTCACCTGCACAAAGCACCAGGCTGAATTCTACAGCCATGCCCTGAATGTACCTAGAAGCCAAGGCAGGCAGGGCCTGCTTAGTACTTGATGGCAGAAAGCCCTAGTTTCCAAATAGAACACCAGCACACAAAAACCTCAGCCTTGAGCCCCATTTCAGTCACACCTATATTGCTTGACTAGTCACTCAGGTAAGGAAGGGGGAATATATTTAGCTATATCGGGTAAAATAATTGTTGGTGTATAGAACACAAGAAAGTGTAAACTTTTGTGGGTGACTGGAGGGAGGGGAAATGTAGTTTTCTGTTTTTGTTTTTTGCCAGTCTGGGCCTGGGCACTGTCCCCGAGTTTCTTTTGCTCAAGGCTAGCACTCTACTACTTGAGTCACAGCACCATTTCTGGCTTTTTTGAGTAGTTTCTTGCAGATAAGAGTCTCATGGAGTTTTCTGCCCGGGGTTGGCTTTGAACTGTGATCCTCAGATCTCAGCCTCTTGAGAAGCTAGGATTACAGGCATGAGCCACAGGTGCCTGGATCAAAGATAGTTTTTTGAGTTTAGTTCCAGGTACTTGCTCTAAGATACCAGACAAATCCCAAGTGTAGCCGTGTATCCATTTTACCTGGGCTGTAGCTTGTGGCACATCTATTAGCAACACATCTCTAAACATCTTGTGTTTTCTACCACTGTTCTCATGCTTTATGCCAACGTGCAGAAAAAGACGTTTTGACTATGAAGATGCAAACAAGGTAATGAAAGTAAACAGTCAATTAGTAAAAGTACTTTATTCTCCTCTTGTATTTGCTCTATACCTTGCTTTACAAAGTTATGAAGTTCACAGCTTTATACCAAAATGTAAGAAGACTAGGCTTATTTGTTTATAAACATTTTTGCAGTCAGGTGTCATCTGATTTCTTCCTTCAAATCCATACTCAATACTGAAGAAAAAAAATCAGAAACCAAGGGTACTGGAGTAGCTCTAGGGGACAGTATTTCTCCTAATAGGAGAAAGGTCTTCAACAGCCTTTCCTCCTTTGACCCCATTTTGCCTCCAGTTCAGCTGCATTACAACCTTGAATTCAGAGCAAATCTGGGAAACCCTAGTCACCATGCGGCTCAGCAGGGCCACACACTTAGGGCAGTAGGTGAAGTCAGCTCCTGTGTGGGAAGCAGGGGTTTGCTTTAGAGGAGGGTCGCACATCCACTTTCACATGGAACTTGGCGGAGCTCAAAGCACTTCCACACTTGCTCAGTTCTGTCCATCCACCCTTCTCTCAACCCCGTGGTCTTAAATGACTCCGGCTGGGCTGAAACCACCATTTTACCAATGTGGCAAGCATGGTCTTCATAATAATGCTAAGAGCTCTCCTTTAGGTAACAAGAACTAAATTTAAAAGTATGCACTTACAAACTGCAGTATTTGAGCAAACCAGAGTATGTGTGCTATTCAAATTTCACCTCGCAATATACTTCAATCTCCTCTCCACTGGATTCTCTTCCACAAAACACACCACACCATTCATTGCTCTAGCTGCCGCCTACGCCCATGCCCAGCAGCTAGCCACATGCCTAGTCACAAGCTGCCCACTCTACCATCTACCAGGAAAAACGACAAAAGAAAACCGTGGTTAGGCAAACAGTCACTTCAACAGCAAGGGCACTGCCTATAACTCACATGTAGGTCATGAATGAAACACTCACGTGCTCGCTATTCTGGGGGAGAAAAACCTCCCCACAAAAGCCGGAGTGTGGTAGTGAATCACTTCTCAATTCAAGTAACATCAGGTCAAGGTAAGTTGCTATTTTTGTTTGCATTGTTTAGAACCGAGCAGAGGAGCATGCCAAAATATATTCTGAACCTGATTAACAACTTTTACAGAAAACTGAAAGTGACTGATACTTTTATCAGTGTAAACTGATGTATAAAGAATGTATAAATGGTATAAAGAATGAGCATGTGAAAAGATTCTGTGGTTTCCTTGGCTTGGTGTTGTCAAGAATTCTAAAGATGGCTTCCAACTACTGGAAAGTGCCAGTTTCTGTTGGGTTAGTGGACAGTTAGATCCTTTCCTTCGTGAACTACTAAGCTGTACGTAGTCAACACGGACCTGAGCCACCGCCCTGGGAGCACAAGCAGAGGCTGAGATCTGTAATGACACGCCGACAACTGACTTTCCCTCAGCCCAGCTCTGCACAACTTTCAAAACACACAGATCAGGACACAACCAAACAAAAGGAGCCAAGACCCCCCCGGCTCCTTCCTTTCTCAAGAGGGCTGGAATGGGTCATTCTCCATCACTCATTAGCCTGATGCTATAAAGAACACATTACTGCTGCTGCTTCAAAGAAAACTTTTGTGACATGAGAAACAATACAATCCAGGTGCCCACCTGGACTCATGTATGCAAGAAGCACACCCATGCACACACCCAGACAGATGTGCGCCTGTAAATCTACCGAGTTAAGTCCCGAGTGCCTGGCCCTCCACGCCCTGCTGCCCACTGCCCGCTGGAACCGTGTCACCCCTCTCCCTGCTCCACAGGCCCTTGGCCGACAGCACCGGAAGCTTCCTCAGCACCTCACCCTGCCAGCATGCAAACACTGCCTCACTGCGGCCCAGGGAAAAGTGCAAGCTTTGACAGTAAATCCAGATGGAGTTCTGGGAGGCCACTGCTCTGGTCACGGTTCTAGGAATGGGGGATGAGAGGTGGGAAGAGTGGCTTTAATCTCCCACAGAATCAGCATTATTCCACCTGATCCACACGATCTCTTCAACATCCGACAAATCTAAGCCATGTGACTAACGGAAGTTTTCGTACTCGCAAGGGAAGAGAGTGAATGGCTTGTGGGGCTGTCCGCTACCTAGCAGCAGCTCTAGAGTAGCTCGCAATGTTTTCTGGACCAGTAAGAAACACAGGAGCTTTTTCCTAGAGAAAAGAACACGTACTTAAGTCTTCCATTATAAATGCCAAGGGCTCACAGACCCTGCCCCAACCCAAAGCCAGAGGGAGAAGTGCGCACAGCTGCACTCACGCTGCAGGTGAGAAAACCCTGAAGGTGCAGTGCCCGCAGACAGGGTCACACCCTCAGGCCACCTAGCGGCATGGGGCCCCCCCACTCATTTCGCTCTCTCTCAACAATCTTAAGTTTTGGAATCCAGAAACAAGAGCAGAAAGTGACACTTAGTGTACTTTTACTGATCAACAGTCCAGAGAAAAATCCCCAAGTCCCACAATGAAAGTGAGGCTCTGTTGACCTGGGTGTCTGGTTGTCCCAGATTTCCTCAGCCAGCAGGTGGGTGAAGACCAAGCTACTGGCTTCCAAAAGTCTCTAGAAGGCCAGCTTCAGTCGGCGATGCTTTAGTCTTAACTCCCTGACCTGGTGTGCTGTGGGTGGGTGGAAAACGCCCTGTGAGCCCAGAGGACTGACGGCTGCCATTGCTCTAGGCACAGTTAAGGGGCAGGAGAGGTGCAGGGACACAGGGTACGCCTCCAGCCCAAACAGCCGAAGGCACCTGTGGCAAGGAGCTCCCGGGCCTAACAGCAGAACAGAAAAGGAGACATTAGCCTGGCTGCTGCCTCACAGGGGGTGCTCTGTCAGACCTGCACACAAGTTCTCCAGGAAAGGCTCCCACAAGGACTCATCTCAATGGGACTGGTTCCTGAATCCTCAAACTCAAGCTGGTTATCAATAATCTCCCATGTGTCCTGTTGCACTGCAAGCCAGCTCTGTCCATTTACTAAGGAAGTGAGTATCTGAAACACACTACAAATAATGGTTAAGAAAGGTAAGTATACACCCAAGTTTTTACAACTGGGTCCTGAAAATGTAGCATCTGAACAAAGCTGTACTGAAAGCTTGACTATCAAAAGCGGAAAGCATCGTAAGAAACATAAACTAGAAATTGCAAGCTCAAAGCGACAAAAATATGATTAGGGCCAAAGTAGGTAACCAATTAAGATCTGGAGTTTTAATAAACATGGAAAGAATGCTTGTCGCATGAATCACTCTATGTCCCAGAGGAGTATAGGTATCCTTTAAAAAATCTGTTTCAATGTCATTGCACCCTCCTGCACAAACTTGAAATGTGACCTCTGACCTCACAGAGCTGCGCAGGCTTTTGCTAGTTGGTAAGCCTGGCTTTTTCCTTCCCCGCTTCCGGGGGAAGGAGAGGGAGTGGTCTGTGTGAAGAGGCCACAACGAAATAGTTCTACTAGTGACTTCCCAACATGGGAGGCAACAAACTTCATGAATCAATTCTGCTGTCATCGTCAGCATGTCGTTCGATGTGTCCAGCAGCATCCTAAGGAGAAGGGGAGAGGGACCGTAAGACACAAATGGGCTGGAAGACAGGAGCAAGTCAAAGCCGAGGAAAGCCACCCCAGATAATTAATTTATGCACTCAGCTTTAAGTTCTCCTCTTACCAAAGAGCACTGGAATAAATCTGTAGGTTCAATTATTGAGTTTGAGAAACATCTAAAAATAATCTCTAAGCTCTTGATGAAAATCTGCCATGTTCTTCCACCCAAGCCTCAGAATAATAAAGAAGAAATATGCCCAGAATATTCTTACGACAGCCAAAACCCTCTGCCCGCCCCTGCGAAAGCGGGGTCCACGGGCGCACCTGCTTGGATCCTTTCCGAGCAGTGAAAAATGCGTCACAATTCTTCCAGCGGCATTTCAGAGTCTGGAAGTTCGGATTCGTGTGGTCAGTCAGCAGGTGTTGTTTTAAGTGATCTACGACCCCAAATATCAGAGAGCAGCCATGCCACTGCAAGACAGACAGCAAGGGGCCAGGTGAAGAGGAAAGTGGAAGAGAACTACAGCACACTGCAGAGTCAACTGCAAAGTATCCTCCCTTGCTTTTGTCCCCTTGGAAGCGAAAAGCCTGTCACACTTCAACTTATTCTTAGCTACAAAGTATAGCAATACTAGAGGCTATCATATTCATTACCAGTATAATAAGGAACCATGAAAAAAAAGACCAGAAAGTCTTTTGGCTCTTTGGCATTCTGAAAAGGCACTTTACTAAGGTAGACATTATATTGTTTTTTTAGACAAGGTCATGTTATGTGGCTCAGTAAGGCTGACCTCACGTTGGTGATCTTCCTGCCTCACCTTCCAAGTTCTGGAATTTAGGTATGCGCTACCATGCCCACCTAACAATTACATCTTGTTAGATAAATATGGAAAAGTTTAGCAAATGTTTAAAGATGAAAGCAGAAATTTAGTTTAAACCACATTGTTGTTCATCTTGCCATCACAAAACTAAATTTTAGTCCCATTTATTTCAAAAGGCAAAAAAATTTCCTACAATATAGTAAAGAATATATTTAACCATTCTAAGAACTTCTGACTTATAGACTTGGAAATAAAAATGTCTGAAAGAGAAACGCATCTGTGGAAATACACTAAGATGACTGTGCCTGCTAAAGAACCTGCCCTTTAAAATTCACTGCTGCTACCATTCCAATCACAATCTTTTGTTTCCTTAAAAAAAATCCTGACTTTACTTATAAATGTGGTTGGATTTCATGTATTAGTCAGAAAGCACAAAGGCTTTGTTTTAGCTCTTTCCAACACTTGTTTATGGTAAACCTTGAGACTATAATACTAAACATATTTATTCTAAAACCTAATACAAGTCTGAGGCTTTTCTCTGTCAAAGTATTCCATACCTGTACCTTTAAAAACACAAAATATGCCAGGTGACAATGGCTCACGCTAGCTAGTCAGGAGGGTGAGATCTGCAGATTGCAGTCTGAAGCCAAACCTGCCAGGAAGGTCTGTCAGACCCTTACCTTCAACTAACCACCCAAAAGCCAGAAGTGGTAGAGCTCTAACCTTGAACAAAAAAACTCAAGGACAGTACCCAGGCCCTGATTTCAAGCCCCAGGACTGGCACCAAAGGAAAAAAAAAAGGAAAGAAGAATAGAAAATATGTTCCCTATTTCCCTAGATACATTTTCTATTTGTATATCCTGGCTTTTGTGCTAGATTTTGCTTGCCTTTACTCAGAGGACTAAAAAAGCAAAGACAGTAATATAAACAAACTGGAAACAATTAGGTTTTGGATAAGCTTAAAATCCAGTTTAAAAATAAAGAGTGATAAATTTATTCCATGAGTAATGAGGAGATTAGGGTTTGGGGAAAAAGAAATTCAGTACCAAAAACTTCTCTTTGGTCATGAACAATATAAGAATGGATTTTAAAGAAGACTTACAAGAAGTGGTATTGAAATTTTTAATTTTTGTTTTGTCAGTCATGGGGCTTGAACTCTGGGCCTGGGTGCTTGCTATCCCTGAGCTCTTCAGCTCAATGTGAGTGCTCTACCACTTGAGCCACAGTGCCACTTCTGGTTTTCTGGTGGTGAATTAGAGATAAGTGTCCCACGGCCAGGTACCGGTGGCTCACGCCTGTAATCCTAGCTACTCAGGTGGCTGAGATCTGAGGATCACAGTTCAAAGCCAGCTCAGGCAGGAAAGTCTGTGAGACTCAAAGTGGTAGAGTGCTAACCTTGAGCAAAAAAGCTGCTCAGGGACAGCGCCCAGGCCCTGCGTTCAGGCCCTATGACCAAAAAAAAAAAAAAAAAGTATAGCTTGGTATGGTGACATATTCCAATAATCTAAACATTTGTGAGGTTGAAGTAGAACAATGGTGAATTTGAAGCCAATCTACAATACATAATGAGGCTGTCTCAAAAAGATGTAAAACAAAAATCACAAAAATATTTTATTTGTGATTCTAAGCTTCCTTGTCCTACAGCTTAAATACATACACTCAAAGTCATACAGCTTAAATACATACACTCAAATACAAAACACTAAGCCAATAATGACAAAGAGCTATAAACTAGTCTAAAGCTGAGTGTCTCTCCCCTTGGTGACAAGAACAGTGTCATTGCTTACCCAACAGCGGTAATTCTGCATCAGATTTAGCCTCACAGCCTGAATACTACCATCATAACAGCCCGTATAAATCTGGAGAAAGAAGTTAACAGGATTAGGCTAACATAGACACAGCCACAAAACACCCTCAAAATAAAAGAAACATGAGCCTAAAGCAAAACCACCACCCAAGTACTAGAATGGGACTGTAACTTCTAGATCTACTGGTCAGAACACTTTGACCATGTGTTCTTTAGAGAGCTGATGAAGAGCTCTTAGGGCATGTGACTCCAAATGCAACCGGCAGGACTTGGAGACAGTCATTTATTCTTTAACTGGGGTAGCTTTGGCTTCTAACTGGTGTTGTCTATCAAGAATCTGAATTTCAAGCCGGGTGCCGGTGGCTCACGCCTGTGATCCTAGCTACTCAGGAGGCTGAGATCTGAGGATTTCAGTTCAAAGCCAGCCCGGGCAGGAAACTCTTATCTCCAATAAATCATCAGAAAACCAGAAGTGGCACTGTAGCTCAAGTGGTAGAGCACTACCCTTGAGCTGAAAAGCTGAGGGACAGTGCTCAGGCCCAGAGTTCAAGCCTCACGACCGACCAAAAAAAAAAAAAAAAGAATCTGAATTTCATTCTAAGAAAGGGTTCTACTACTAAAAGCTTGAGAGGATCCATTCTGACTCAACGACCTAATTTTAAAGTAAATCGAGGCTCAGCAGAGAAGTGAGTTAGCTTCTACTTTTAGGCCTGTTCTAACTGTGCCACAGTGGCCAAGTCTCCTGACTCTAATTCTATCCTTCTCTTTGGATCATGACTCTAGAAAAAGTACCACTGTATTTTTTTTAAGCATCTTAAATATATCTTCTAACTAACGATGGCACTACGTTTTTATGGAACTTATATTAGTTATGAGTAGAAATGGCATATTCAACTTATGCTGCTAGGTTGCTCTGTGAGGACAAGGCACAAAGGCAGTTGGCAATGAGCACACTGGGAAGAGGCGGGCAGTAGCGTCATCTGTGGGCAGAATTGTAGGCAAACACGTTTAGAAGCTCACGTCTCACATGCGATCATGACTCACCATGCTCTTATGGATGGTCATACACATAATCATGTCTTTGTGTCCTCCATAGACTTGCAGCCGATCATGGGACTGCAGAAGGAAGAAAAGAAAAAAGAATTAAGCGGTTTATTTCCTTTGTGTTTTGTTTTTGAACTCTGAGCCTGGGCACTGTCTCTGAGCTCTTCAGCTCAAGGTGAGCGCTCTACCACTTCCCCAGCACCACATCCGGTTTTCTGGTGGTTATTTGGAGATAAGAATCTCATGGACTTTCCTGCCCAGGCTGGCTTTGAACCATGATCCTCAGATCTCAGCCTCCTTAGTAGCTCAAATTACAGGCAGGCATGAGCCTCCTGTGCCCAGCCCCTTGTGTTTATTAACTCTAGTACTTCAGGGACTTGGTGGTTTAAATTATTCCTGTGGCATTACACTGAACCACCAGTTTTGCATTAATAGAGACAGAGGAATGGAGTCTTCATAGTAAATCCCTTGCAAGGTGAGGAGTTGGGAACTAGGAATATTACAACCAAAATTGCACAGAGGGAGAAGTGGTCAAGTGAAGTCCCTGAGGGTTCTCTCTAGAAACTTAAGCTTAGAAATTCAGGTTTTGGCTCACAGGAGCCAGCTGCTTCATCATTATCCAGTATATTTGTGAACACAGACCACTTGGGCTCCACCCCAGCCTTGCTGTATCAGAAATCCACACCAGCCAGGCGCCAGTGGCTCATGCCTGTAATCCTAGCTACTCAGGAGGCTGAGATCTGAGGATCACGGTTCAAAGCCAGCCCGGGCAGGAAAGTACGAGACTCTTATCTCCAATTAACCACTCAGAAAACCGGAAATGGCACTGTGGCTCAAGTGGGAGAGGGTTAGCCTTGAGCTGAAGAGCGCAGGGACAGCGCCCAGGCCCAGAGTTCAAGCCCCACAACTGACCAAAAAGAAAAAAAAAAGAAAACAAAAGAGAAATCCACATCAAACCCAGGCAGGCTCTCTTTCCCCACAGCGAAATGCTGGGTGCAAATTCTACCTGAAGTTCATAGACTCGAACAAACTTGTCCAGGCAGGCTGTCACCATCACCTTCCCCAGGATGTTGACCACGGTGACGGCATGGTTGTGGCCTTTATAGATGCGTACGAGCTCCCCGGTCTGCACAGAGAGGAACAGTCACTAGGTGAACGGAAAGTCACCTTTACCATTCATTAATTCTAAGAAGCCACATGCAAACATATGTAGCTGTTCTAACAGCTGAAGAACTCCCACTGCATTTGCTACCTACAGGAAATTTGTGAAGTGTGACTCTATTATAGAATATTTTGCACCGCTGGAAGCACAGTGTGAGCATTCCTAATCTAAAAACCTGAAGCCCCAAATACTCCAAAATCAAAAATTTCTTGAGCACAAATACAGATGTCACAAATGGCAAAAAAAAAAAAAAAACAACAACCCACAACTCACCTCGCGTGATAGATTGGCCAAAGTATAGGAACAGTAAAAATTCTAAAATTACTGTAGGCTATATGTCTGGTGAGATGTGAATAAGTGTGCTTAGACTTGGGTCTCCTCCCGAATACAACTCATTGTGTCTATGTAAATATCGTAAAGTATCAAACGTTGGGTAATGGCTGCTGGGCCTACCCTCCCGGCCAGCACTGCTCTCACAAAGACAGGCTGTCGTGGGGCTGCATGTGTATGGGGCTCAGGAACTCAGCCTCAGCAAGTGTGTCCTCAGTCCAGCCTCGCAGCTGTTTTTATTGTTCTACTTTAATCTACAAATCATAGACACTTGCTGAGTCTCAGCTGCTTGACTTAAAAGTCAAAAAGAGGCACTCAAGTAAGACCTTCGGTAAACTTTGAATCTGACCTGGATTAAAAATTTTGAAAAGGACAGAATTTCTAAAGGGCTCACTATATTTATCCAAGAGCATGTGCTTAGCAATTATTATTCTTCAACAGATGAAGCCTGACTTAAGAGTAGTCTAAGGAAACCTTCAACTTTAATAGGCCTTTTTTCCCTGTGTGAATATGCCTGTCCTGGGGCTTGGAGCCAGGTTCTGGAGTTATCCCTGAGTTTTTCTGCTCTACCACTTGAGCCACAACTCCACTTATGGCTTTTTTCGTGCTTAACTGGAGATGACAAGTCTCATGGGCTTACTGTCCAGGCTGGCTATCCAGCTATATACTTGGAAATCAGAATCCCGAGTAGCTAGTGAGCCACTAGCACAGGCTTGAATGGGCCTCTTTCGACAGATTTTCTACATCCCACCAACATGGCTTACGTGGATGTTGTGAGCATGGACTGACTGGTCACTAGAGCCGCTGAACACAAGGTCATTCACCACCTGCAAGAGAATGACTCAATGAGTTAGGTTCTGTGCCAGCATCTCAGTTTCCTCTAACATGTAACACACACTGGGCAAATTGTAACTACCATCTGATTTTCAGAGGAACACAAGGGTATGAAATAACGTATTTAGCAAACCAATTACCCCAACTGAATCTTTAGACCCTGGCACTAGGCACGTGATGAAGTGACCATGCACTGGTAGGTTTGTTAACTCTCTAGAAAGAGCAAACATAGCCAAGAAGGGCATCAGATCGTACCCTTGCCCCACACAACAACACACTTCACTGTTTCTCAGTGAGTAGATTAAAAAGTACTTTATCACTCGGTGAACTAGGCATAAATAAAAGCTCGGCAAGCTCCTAGCTCTTCTCCAGTCCTAAATAAGGTGCATGCCACATGCCACTGAAAGCGCTTGTGCTTGCGCTATCAGGGTACTCGCCTTCATGCAGAGAATGGTTTTGCTGTGGCCCTCCAGAGTTCGGAGGAGCAACCCGTTGCGTGCGTCGCGTACGCTGATGGTGCAGTCGTAAGAGCCCACAACCAGCAGCTTCCGGGCCCCTTCCTGAGCTGTGGCTAGGCAGCTGACCGCCCGAGGGCCGTGGCACTCAAAGATCTCCAGTCGCTTGTTGTTCTGCAAAAGCAACCACCACATAGAAAATCAAAGGAACTCACGCTGGACCACTTCAAAATCAACCCCAAACGCTACCAACCCTCAAGTCTGCGACTGGTGCTCAAATTCTCAGAGCCACTTGGAATCCTGGCCTCCCCAGCCTGCCACACCCCTCCCAGGACCTCCTTCAGACCCCATCTAGTAGGCACAAACTCTTACACGATCAATGACTTTAACTTCAACCCACACCATTCTGATCCTAAAAAAGAAATGGATTCTTCCTTATGTTCTTTTCACTTTCCTGAAATTAATGTAAATACAGGATCAACCTTTCTTCATATTCTAGTACCTTCTTCCAGGCAACAGACCCAGGAACTCTTCCTTTTTTGGTACCATCCAAAATATATGCCGTCCTGTCATGCTGTCTCCAAAAAATCTCTATGAAAAACTACTTTATTAAACTATTTTTGTCAGTCATGAGGCTTGAACTCAGGGCCTAGGTGCTGTCCCTACACTCCTTTACACAAGGCTAGTGCCCTACCACTTCGAGCCACAGCTCCACTTCCAGTTTTCTGGTGATTAATTGGAGATAAGAGTCTCACGGACTTTCCTGCTTGGGCTGGCTTTCAACTGTGATCCTCAGATCTCAGCCTCCTGAGTAGCTAGAGTTACAGCAGCACCTGGCTCTAAACAATTTTATTACATCTCAAACTCTGCACACTCTTGTTACTCTGATGCTCTTGTTCTGTGTTATCTCTTATAACAACATTACAGAGACTTTATAATAGCTTCACTAATTACCCTTCTGTGATGTATTCATATTCTCAAGTAACTTTGGCATCTGTTTAGAGTATGTCAGAGTATTCAAATCTGCTCTTATGTTTTTTTTTTTTGTCGGTCATGGGGCTTGAACTCTGGGCCTGGGCGCTGTCCCTCAGCTCTTCAGCTCAAGGCGAGCGCTCTACCACTTGAGCTACAGCGCCACTTCCGGTTTTCTGGTGGTTTATTGGAGATAGGAGTCTCACGGTCTTTCCTGCCCGGGCTGGCTTTGAACCGCGATCCTCAGATCTCAGCCTCCTGAGTAGCTAGGATTACAGGCGTGAGCCACCAGCGCCCGGCTTGCTCTTATGTTTTTAACAAGCAGAAACCACAATGCACTTCAGAGCGTCCCTTATATAAGTTCCAGCTGGCATGTAAAATAGGGAAGACACTCAACATATGCTAGAAAATGACCAGGGGATATGGTGCTGCTAATCAGTAATAAAAACCATCAATTCCACCTTACATCTTCCACCCGTTTCCACTTCTTCATCCTTCCACTTCTGTGGCAAAGCCTCATAAATGATCTTCCTGCCTCTACAGATACCAACCTTTCCCAGGCTCTTCAGTCCCAAGTGACTTTCTAGAACAATAAAGCGAATCCCAGCTTGTACTGTAAAGCCCACAGTAATTTCAATTACCCGAACAAAACACAGTAAGACCCTCAAAGACTTCCTAATCTAACCCTGGGGCAGAGCATAGATGTCAATTTATTTATCAATAAAGAAATTTACCTTTGCCTTAGTAAAGAATAAAGCCACGTGAGTGTTAACGAAAACCTCTACAAAACAGGCCATCCTCAGGATATACAAATGACACTGCTATACACCATGGAATTCAGAATCATTTCTCATAGTGTCATGCTTAATATGAAACAGACTGGTCTAACCTATGACTCATTACTTGGCCCCAAATCTTCAGGCTTGCTTCCACTAGTATATTAGTTCCACTGTGGTCCTGGCACACATGAGTCTGAGCAGACAGAATGGAAAGTTTGCTTCAGTTACATCAGAAGAGAAGAGGTTGTGAGTAGCAGCTAGTTGTGTTATCTCCTCATACAACACAACAGCAATGCAAGTTGGATACCTCTCTCCCCCCTCCCCACCCCATGCTCATTCTTTCAAATCAAGGGAATTCAGCCTTCTCTCCCCCGGACACTAACCTTTATGTTGAAGGTCACCACCGTGCCATTTGCAAGGCCTGCGTAGAGGACTCGCCACCTACTATGAAGGCAGAGAACTCGGTCTTCCAGCTGTAAGTGTTCCATGCACTCTCGGGTCTGGAAAGAAAAAAAAAAAAAGCACATCTAAGAAGCAGAGGGCAGCAGCAAATGGGGTGTGAAAATAACTTCTGCACCAAGAAGGAAGAAAACATGGCAGCTATTCTGCATCTTTTTCCTCTTTGAACTATGAGGCCAAAGACCACCCCTCCCACCCAAGGCCCTAGGTAATCATGAAAAAAATCCCACAAATTTTAATAATGATACATTTGTTTCTAAGAATGTAAAAATTCTTCAGAGGGACGTACAGTTGAATCTTAGTCCTATAGTTAAATGAACAAAAAATAAAGCTGAGGCTGTATTTGGTATTTAAAGGGGGGAATGGTGATTATAGTTGTATGTATTTTTTCCCCTTGTGCTATGTCCACTTCCAGTTTTTTGCTGATTAGAGGTAAGCATCTCATGGATTTTTCTGCCCAGGCTGGCTTTGAACCTCAATCCTCAGATCTCAAGCTCCAGAGTAGTTAGGCCAGTCTCCAGCCTGCAGCTCCACTATGGATAGTGAGAAATGGGAGTAAATACAGAAAATGTACTTTATGTCTAAGTCTCATAGCACACAGCTATCGGTGTGTTAACCTAGGTTCAGAAACAGAAAGATCAAAGTGAAATGGGTAGAGTGAAGCAGCTAGGCGCTGCACGCTCCTCACAGTAAGTAGCCAGGGTTCAGTGTTGTGACTTCATTTCTCGGGGCACACCCACCTTAGCATTATAGCAGCGAATGGTGTGGTCACTGGAACCGGTGTAAAGGGCTGCGTTCTTCCCAGAGGTCTGGGTGACCAGCAGGCAGTTCACTTTGGAAGTATGGCCCTCAAAGACACCAGTACATTTCCGACTCTAAAAGCCAAGCACAAGGCAGACCGTTACCGTGGGATACAGGCTGTTCTCAGTGAAAAGATGCTAAAGCTTTCAGGCTGTGGCTGCCTTTTCTCGGTGCCTACAATAGGCCACACATACAACATGGGCTAACAAATCTTTATTCGTCCAAAGTTTAGGAAAACAGTCATCTGCAGCTGTCATTAAAAATAAAGACGAAGTGGCGCTGTGGCTCAAGTAGTAGAGTGCTAGCTAGCCTTGAGTTGAAGAGCTGAGGGACAGCGTCCAGACCCAGAGTTCAGGCCCCATGACTGATCAAAAAAAAAAAAAAAAAAAAGAACCCACAAAGAACACTCAGGGCAATTCACTCTAACACAGGAGAATTTTAGTCGATGTCAGGGGCAAGATTCTCTTAATAAATGGATCAAGAACCTTGCAAATCCAAACTGTAGCTAATTACTCAGGAAAGTTGAGAATGTGCCACGATATTAAAAACAAAAACAAAGAACAGTGATCCTAAAGCTTCTTGGCTACCATTGTTGAACAGAATTAGTTTTTTTGTTTTGTTATCTATGTGGTTCTGAGGACTCAAACCCAGGGAAGATTCATGCATGGTAGGCAAGCACTCTACCACTAAGCCACATTCCCAGCCCCAGAATTCGTTCTGATATATTTCAAATTCAAAACTTAAAGGTTCACTCTTTTTTTGTTGTTTTTGGGTTTTTTGGTCGGTTGTGGGGCTTGAACTCTGGGCTTGGGCGCTGTCCCTCAGCTCTTCAGCTCAAGGTGAGTGCTCTACCATTTGAGCCACAGCACCACTTCCGGTTTCCGAGTGGTTTATTGGAGATAAGAATCTCACAACCTGGGCTGGGAAGGTGGCTCAGTGGTAGAGCACTTGCCTTGCATGCTCGAGGCCTGGGTTCGATTCCTTAGCACAACATAAGAAAAGCTGGAAGTGGTGCTGTGACTCAAGTGGTAGAGCGCTAGCCTTGAGCTGAAGAGCTGAGGGACAGCGCCCAGGCCCAGAGTTCAGGCCCCACGACCGGACCCCCCAAAAAAAAAAAAAAAAAGGAATCTCACAGCCTTTCCTGCCTGGGCTGGCTATGAACCAGTGATCCTCAGATCTCAGCCTCCTGAGTAGCTAGGATTACAGGCGTGAGCCAATGGTGCCCAGCAGGATCACTCTTTTGAACACAAAGGTGCAATGTCTGAATGCCTCATCATATTTATATAAACATGTTGACAAGAAACTAAGATATGGAAACAAGAGATCTCTCTTATTTTTTAGTGTATAGTCTATTTTTTGATGATTCTGGCTTCTTTTCCTATGTATGGTGCATTCAAGTGTGTATCTTTAGAAGAGTTGGGAAAGAGTTGGAGGAAAAACGGGTGAAAAAATGCAGCAGTGGAGTTCACTGGACATGGATGAGAGTGAACTATACAACTCATGGGTGGAGATGGGAGGGAGGGACTGGGAGAGAGTGAGGGAACAGAAGACACTGTATGAAAGGAGATGTACTCATCACCTGACTCATGCTATTGTAATCCCTCTGAACATCACCTCTATCATAACAATGAAGTAAATTAATTAACAACAACAACAACAAAAAAGGTTCACTCTTGTGAAAGTAATGAGCATGGGCTGACCCAAGTGTGCGGCTATAGAGAAGCTCTGCTCTCCTTAAGAACTTGCAGGGGAAAACGCTTCCTCTAACAATTCCCCAACCTTCCGTCTGACCTGCTCTACTGGTGCAATCCCATCCACCTTTGCCACAGGCCACGGCACAGAGATAAAAGCACAGGACCTTTTCTGGTGGAGAGAGAGGCACCAGACAGGTAGGTGCATTTTGCAGGAAAGGTGAGGCTGAAAAGACCCAGTGAGAGAGAGCGAGAGATTCAGCCCAGGCCGACCTGGTGAGCTGCTGGCTCAACTGCACCTGGAGTCATTCCCTCAGACAGCCACGGACTTGCCGGCAGGATTTTCTTAACCTGCCACCAAAACCACTTGTCAAAGCGTTACATTCTCTTACCACCAAACTATAAACCCGGACGGTTGTATCCGCGGAACAGGTGTACAGTAAGTTTCCAAATATCTGTATTGCATTCACTGCTGCTTGGTGGCCCTCGAAGCTTCCTTCTGTAGGCTCATCATCCTCACCTGGCTCTGAAGATATTTCTAGAAAACAACAACAATTTCCCAAGACAAGTAAGTGTGCTACAATCTGAAAAGATGCTCAAAAGTCAGAACTATATGCCAGGTGTGGTGGTACACGCCCTCAATGCAGACTATGCGGGAGGCAGAGACAGGGAGAGCCCGTCTCACTAAGTAGGAGAACAGAAAAGGGAATCAAAAGATGCGAGCACAGAAGGCCAGGACTTGAAGATCTGGCGGCGACCAAGGCCACCAGCCTTCTGGTTCAGCCACACCCGACACCCGATACCCCAGCTCCTGTGCTGCAGTGAAGATTTTTTTTTCCCCATGGCTACTTTTAAATGGAGCAATTACCTGAAGAGTTTTTTGATCCTTTTAAGGAGGAGATCACAGTCTGAGTTTCTGCCACGCTATAAAATAAGAGCAAAAGTTCTCCTTAGTGTGAGAGAACAAGACAGGAAGCAAATAAAAAATGTCCTAACTCAAAGCATTGCTCTTGAACAACGTAGCAATGGTAAGAAACTGGATTTTCCCACAAACTTTCTTTATGAAGAGAAATAAAAGCATTATAAACAGAGTTATTACTTAAAATGAGTCAAGAAAGAAAGCAGAACCATCTCTGAGAGGATTCTTCCATGTCTAGAATGTCTCCTCTTTTCACATAAATTTAACTTTCTAAACAAGTTCAAATAGAACCAGAGACTGAAGGCCGCTCTGCTGAGAGCCACACAGCATCCTCACCTCACAGGGGCGCCATCCTTGTAGGGAGTGCCGATCTCACTGGTAGAGCTCACTTCATCACACCCAGAGCGAGAAGTTCCCAGTGGGTTTTGCTCAGCCAAGTTCCAAGTGTCCTTTTTGGATGGGCTGTCTGGCTTCTCCTCGCCAGATTCAGACGATTCAATGGCTACCACTTCTAACTGAGGATTAGGCACTTCTAGGACTTCCAGAGACGAGTCACTCTCTTGCTCATCTCTGAAGCTCTCTTGCTCATCTCTCGCGCTCTCCTGCTCGGGGCGGGGTCTGCTGTCTTCCCAGGTAGAGGTTGTTACTTTGCCCCCTTTAGCGAACTTCCCAGCTTTTACTTTCCTTACAGGTTTAGCCATAAACACATCCTGTTCCGTGTCGCTATTCTCCGGAATGTGGGCAGCCCGGAGCGTTTTCTTCTTCCGAAGTTTCTTCTTCTTCTTGTTTGCCCTGGTCTCGGCGGAGGGCAGGCTGGACTCTGCCTGCTGCTCGGGCTGCTCAGCTGCACTGTGAGCTTCCTTCTGCACAGGGGTTTCTGAAGTCAAAGATGATCTCAGGAAAGAACTGCTCCAGGCTTCAGACCCACTGTGGCCCTTGGCTGACAATTCACCTCTATGCAGGTTTGGAAGATCGGGGGACTGAGAAGATGGAGAGTTTGCTCGGCTTCTGCTACTTCCTTGTTCCACAGAAAGGTTCAGATCCTGGTTGGGCTCATGGCCACTTTCTGTCAGCTCTGAAACACACTGCCCTGCAGGGAGGACTGGATGAACTGGACCACTGTCACTCATCTCTCCTGAATTGAGAAGAAAAATAAGGACGGCATTTTTTTGGGTATATTTGCTGTATATAATCATAATCCGCGAATTGTTTACCACAAACCACAATTGAATCTGTACCAAATAATGTTTCAGTCATATGTTCAACAAAACCATGACTGTTAGAATTGTTAATTCACCCCTGAGGTTCTTATAACCTACACCTCACGTTCCTGTTATAGGCTTCCTACCCCTTGACTCACGTTGATCTCAAAAACAACTGTTAAAAGCAGGGTGCTGCTGGTTCATGCCTGTAATCAATCCTAACTACTTAGGAGGTTGAGATCTGGAGGATCACAGTTTGAGGCCAGCCTAGGCAGAAAACTTTGCTAGACTTCAGCTCCGAAATAACTAGCAAAAACACACAAAAAAATGGGGCTTGAAGGCTTGGCTCAGATGGTAGAATGCCAACTAAGCAAGGGCAAGGCCCTGAGTTCAAACCTGAGTACCACCAACAAACAAACAAAACAACATGTAAGTAACTGTGTCTTATTCCCTAAAAAGCTTGTATGACTGGTAGATAACTGGGTTCAATCCCACAAACAGAAGAAAAAAAAAAAAGACTAAAACATAACAAAAAGATTAAACTATACAACAAAATAGAACCACAGGTCTATTTCTGGCTTTTTTTTGCTGGTCAACTGGAGATAACAGTTCTATAGATTTGTTTCCCTGGGCTGCCTGTGAGCCAGGATCCTCAGTTCTCAGCCTTCTCAGTAATTAGGATTACAGATGTGAGCAACCATTACCGTATTTTTCCAAGCTTAAGTAGTAAGCACATAAACATAATTCTATATTCAATATGAAAGATAATATACATTTGATATTGGTAAACAGATTAACATTTTGACAGGGTACTGGTAGCAAAACTAGGGTAATTCAGACTCACTCTAAAAAAAAAAAAACAAACCTGATTATTTGCTTATTTATTTTCAATATGGCATTGTTGTGCTTATGAAAACTTCTAACAGGCCGGGCGCCGGTGGCTCACACCTATAATCCTAGCTACTCAGGAGGCTGAGATCTGAGGATCGTGGTTCAAAAGCCAGCCCAGACAGGAAAGTCTATGAAACTCTTATCTCCAATAAGCCACTAGAAAACCAGAAGTGGCACTGTAGCTCAAGTGGTAGAGCGCTAGCCTTGAGCTGAAGAGCTGGGAACATTGCTGAGGCCAAGAGTTCAAGCCCCACAACCAACCAAAAAAAAAAAAAAAGAAAGAAAAAAAAGAATACTTCTAACAGGATTTTACAAAGCCAAGAAATTATTTTGAGCTGGGTGCCAGTGGCTTACACTTGTACTCCTGATACTTTCAGAAAGCTGAAATCTGAGGATTACAGTTCAAAGCCAGCTTGGGCAGGAAAGTCTGTAAGACTATTATCTACAATTAACCACCAAAAAGCAGGAAGTGGAGCTGTGGTTCAAGTGGTAGAGTGCTAGTCTAGAGCAAAATAGCTCAGGGACAGTGCCCAGACCCTGTTTTCAAGCCCCAGGATTGGAACAACAATAGTAACAACAAAATTATTCTGACATGCTATCTTATTTCTTTTATATAATAAGAGCATAAGCCTTGGCTTCTTCCACAAAGCACTGAAGTTCCTGTTAGAAGTCCTACCCACTTGGCCAACCACAGCTCAGGCTTTTTTTTTTTTTTTTTTTTTTTGGTCCGGTCGTGGGGCCTGATCTCTGGGCCTGGGCGCTGTCCTTCAGCTCTTCAGCTCAAGGCTAGCGCTCTACCACTAGCACAGCTCAGGCTTTTACCAGTTCTATCTCATACACAAAACAAATGCAGTCAAGTGCTCTGAAGTTCAAGCTATAAGTGACATCCAGAAAACCAGCTGAGCCACTTCAACCTAATCATCACAAAAGCCAAATAAGTTCTATACCTACCCTTTAAGGTTTAAAACACTACTCCCTTTAGGTGTTAAAAGTCAGTAATCTGGGCTGGGAAGGTGGCTCAGTGGTAGAGCACTTGCCTTGCATGCTCAAGGCCCTGGGTTCGATTCCTCAGCACCACATAAGCAAAAAGAAAAAAGCCGCAAGTGGCGCTGTGGCTCAAGTGGTAGAGCACTAACCTTGAGCTGAAGAGCTGAGGGACAGCACCCAGGCCCAGAGTTCAGGCCCCACAACCGGACCAAAAAAAAAAAAAAAAAAAAAAGTCAGTAATCTTAGATTACAGACAAGTAGGAAAAAGTCAGGGGTATCTACATTACATTCCCTGTAGTATTTTAAAATAAGCCTCCTATATGAAGGGCATTTCAAAGACAAATTAACTGTAACAACTGTAGTTTCACCATGCAGGTATTGTGTATACTGATGCACATTTGTCCTAGGATTGTCCCCGCTCTTAGGATGCCCTGAAAAGGGGGAGGCTCGCTTACCCTGAGTGTGCAGTAGTTCCTTGGACACACTGAAATCAGAGCCCTGTGACCCAGAATTCACACTCCCCTCTTGCTCGGGGGACATGGGCTCTTGTTTAATCTGAACCGATGAATCTGGGGCAGGGATGTTGCCCTGAGCCTGGAAAGCAGGAGAAGTGGCTAGTTGGAGAGAGGCTCTGGTGGATGATGGAGACACATGGGAAGGAGTTGCCTCCAGGAAAAGGGGGAAGAAGGGATTAGGCAACAGCGTGGTATCAGCAGTGGTCTGAGATCTGTTTCTTGCTTCTCTGGGGAGGCTACAGGGAACCTGGTCTGGCTGCTCAGAAGGTTCGTACGTCTCTAAAATGAGGGAAAAAAAACACAGAAATACAAAATACGTTACCTGAAAAGTCACTTTATTTTTAGCCAATCTCCATTAGATCAGAGAAGAATTTTAAATTAATACAGTGCTCAGGCCCAGAGTTCAAGCCCCACAACTAACCAAAACAAAAAAAAAAAAAAAACTTCTCAGTTGGGCACTAGTGGCTCTTGTCTGCAATCCTAGCTACTTAGAAAGCTGAAATTGGGAGGATCATAGTGTAAGGCCAGCCAGACACAAAGTTCTTCACACAGCTTCTCAACCAATAGCTGGATACTGTGGCACTGTCATTGCAGCTATGTAAGAGAAAGTGATCAGGAGGATTACAGTTCGAGGATAGCCTGTAACTGCATCTCAATGGAAGAAGCTGGGCCTGGTGGTGCACGCCTGTCATCTCCGCTATGGCAGGAAGCCTAAAATAGGAAGACTGTGACCCAGGTGTGGGCCTGGGTAAAAAGTGAGACCCGAGCCCAGCGCTGGTGGCTCACACTTGTAATCCTAGCTACTAAGGAGGCTCAGATCTGAAGATCATGGTTCAAAGCCAGCCCAGGCAGGAAAGTCCATGAGACTCTTATCTCTAATTAACCACAAGAAAACTGGAAGTGGCACTGTGGCTAAAGTGGTAGAGTGATAGCCTTGAGCTGAAGAGCTCAGAGACAGCACCAAGGCCCAGAGTTCAAGCTCTACAACCAACAACAACAACAACAAAAAAGTTGGGCACTGGTGGCTCACGCATGTAATCCTAGCTACTCAGGAAGCTAAGATCTGAGGATCATGGTTCAAAGCCAGCCCTGGCAGGAAAGTCTGTGAGACTCATCTCCAATAAACCACTAGAAAACCAGAAGTGGCGCTGTAGCTCAAGTGGTAGAGCGCTCGCCTTGTGCTGAAGAGCGCAGGGATAACACCCAAGCCCAGAGTTCAAGCCCCATGACCGGAAAAAAAAAAAAAAAGTAAGACCCTATCTTAAACCAGTGGGGGAAAAAAAAAGGCCAGAGCTACAGCTTAGCAGCAGAGCAACTGCCCAGCTAGAGTACTGCTAAAATGAAAGGAGAGGGAGTTTTCAAGCAGAGTGACTTACATGGAGAGCACCTTCCTAGCCTAGAAAACGCAAGGCCCTAAGATTAACCCTCAGTAACCCTAACAGAAAAAAAAGGGAGGAAGCCATAACTTGATACTTGTGATCTAGGTATTTTGATTCCTAAGACCAAAAGCATCTGTGAGATATACATAGTCCACAAGCCCTTCATAGATAAAAACCAAGAGTGGGGCTGGGAAGGTGGCTCAGTGGTAGAGCGCTTGCCTTGCAGGCCTGAGGCCCTGGGTTCGATTCCTCAGCACCCCATAAGCAAAAAGAAAAAAATCCGGGAGTGGCGCTGTGGCTCAAGTGGTAGAGAGCTAGCCTTGAGCTGAAGAGCTGAGGGACAGCGCCCAGGCCCAGAGTTCAGGCCCCACGACCGGACCAAAAATAAATAAAATAGATAAAAACCAAGAACACGGGGCGGGGTGGAGGGATAGGAAGGAATGGTAAGGGAAAACAAAGGAGGAGGTAACAGTGCTTGATAAGAAATGTACTCATTACCTTGCCCATGTAATTGTAACCCCTTTGTATGGTATTTTCACAATTAAAAAAAAAAACAAAACACGAGGATGTCAGGTGATCTTCTCATCACCATTCTCTTTCCTCTGCCTAGAAAACAACAAGAATGTGCAAAAGGCCCCGTTCCCCGCACCTTGTAATCCCTGTAGAATCTGTATTCGGTGGGTCCTCAGCGCACTCATCTCCATAGTTATCTAGAAAGAAAACACCTTGTCAGGCATTCTGAAATTCACCTTCTGAGTGCCCTCCCTCAGGGCAGCCCAAACGCTGTTACCTGCTGCTTGAGCATGAGCAGCCGCTGAACTTCCACATACGCTGTCTGCAGGGCTGCTCGAGCCTGCAGAAGGTTGTTGTCCATGCACTGAAGTGATTTGCTTAGCTCTTCCTCTCTCAAGGAAATACTCAACAGCTGGTCAACCTGAGAACGTTCTGTGGAAAGAATCATAGGGCCCCACTCAATAACAGGACTCCCTTTCATCACGCAGGATTTAAGGTGCATGAAACAAACACAACAGTGGCCAAACGTATATTTCACAGATGGAGCATCCTCGCTCTAAAGATGATAGGTTTGCCCCTCCCCCTGGCTTCCCTGGTTAGAAGCTGACTCTTCCTCCATCTGCCAATCACGCACCCGGGACTCGTGCAATCGCCTTCCCACAAGGAAAGAGTTGCAGAAGTAGTAATAACTTCTCTCCAGAATTCACAAGAGAAAAGCAGCCAAGACGCCGCAGAGGAAAAGTGAGGGAAATGACAGTAAAGGAGCGAAAGGGATGATGTTTTTACTGACTGGCCTGTTCCTTTCCATCTCACTGAAAAGACCCCATGAGGCTTCCTGGCTTTAAACTGTCTAAGAGATATGATCTTTGCTTGTAAGTCTATACAGTATCATATAATTTCTTTTCTAACTATAACTAGAGATAGCAGGAAATCAAATTTTGCTATTAAGCAAAGCAAAAATGATGATGATGATAATAATAAATGAGCCAGGCCTAGTGGCACACACCTATAATCCCAACAACTGGTAGGCTACTCTGGAGAATCTCAGGTTCAAGAGTCAGCCTGAGCTACATAGTAAGTTCCAGAACAGCTTGGGCTAGCAAGACACTGTCTCAAAAGAAAAGAAAAAAAAAAAACCAAAAACTATTTTCCAGTATGAAGGAAGAACAATGTAAGCTGTTGAAATTGTTTTAAGGGAGGTATAGGATGCAGAGTAGAGTGACAGGCAGTGAGGTTGATCAGGATACACTGTATATACCTGTAGAAATGTCACAATGAAACCTGTTTATACAGCAAATGTGTAAAACAACACATGGAGTGATTGATGATCACAAGCTATGTTATGTCAAGCTGAAAAAAAATGTAAGTTCTAGAAGAACAACTTCCTGTGGCTGGAGCGTAGCTCAGTCCATGTTAAGATGCTGCGTTCCACTCCCAAAGCTGGAAAAAAAAAAAAAAAAAAACACTCCTCTTTTTGTCAGGATATTCTGTACCATACCTTTCTTTCCTTTAATTTTCCTTCTTTTATTTTTTCTTTCAAGACTTGGGAGTTCAGGAGAAGATCCATCCTGAGGAGATTAAAAAAAAAAATTGAATAATATTAAATAGGTAAAACCTATTTAGTCCAAGGGGGGGAAAAACAAAAGAATGAATTCTTAGTTATATACTGTCCTTCACTTACTACCATCTCTACCAAGGTGTCCTGCACATAGTCAAATATTAGTTAAGTGAAAGTATCTTTCGAAAAAACAGAGGGCGGCGGAGATGTCTGAGGTCCTGAGTTCAATCCCCAATTCTGTTCCTGATCCTGCCCATCTTCCAAAAAAAGAGAGAATGAAACAGACTAAGGTCGTGGCCTTCCTAGTTTCCTACAGGTGGTTAAATCCCATGGAGCGTAGGCACAGCACTGGCCCTCTACCATGGTGAAGTGCCACACAGACAGAAGAATGGACAGAGCCAGTAACATGTAACAGATACTCTTGACTGCACCTCAGCAGACAATCCCACTTTACATTTCAGCAAGCAAACTTTTACAAGAAGCTAAAGCATCTGTAAGAAACTCAAAATATGCTAGGCACCGGTGGCTCACGCCTGGAATCCTAGCTACTCAGGAGGCTGAGATCTGAGGATTGCAATTCAAAGCCAACCCAGGCAGGAAAGGCCGTGAGACTCTTATCTCCAATAAACCACTAGAAAACCAGAAGTAGCACTGTAGCTCAAGCGGTAGAACACTCACCTTGAGCTGAAAAGCAAATGGACAGTACCCAAGCCCAGAGTTCAAGCCCCACCGCCAACTAAGGAAGGAAGGAAGGAAGGAAGGAAGGAAGGAAGGAAGGAAGGAAGGAAGGAAGGAAGGAAAGAAGGGAGGGCAGGCAAAATATTTAGCTTTCTCAAAGAACAATTTCTAAGGCTAGAGGTGTGGCTCAAGTGGTAGAGCACCTGCCTAGTAAATGCAAGACTCCAAATTCAAACCAAAAGAGACGAAGAAAAAAAATCCAATTTCTACCTAAAGTACCTAACAGTATCTCTTACATAGTGTCTAGCTCAGAGGAACAAAACTAAAATTTGTTGGGATTTTCTGATTATTATTTTTAGAAAGAACCCGATTTCTCCCAGTGCCAGTTTTAGCTTCTAGCCACCCTCTTTTTAGAAAGGGTCCTGAGATGGCTAATAAGTACTCTGAGTGACAGGAGTGGCACATGAACAGAAATGGTATCATTGAAAGATTCTTAAAGGGTTATGCAGAGAAACTAAGGAACCAAAGACACTTATGAAGGCTAAAAACATTTCCATTACTATTTAGGTGCTAATAGAACCACGCCGCTTTAGAGTCAAGCCTCTCAGTCAAGAATCTAACAACCGTATGCACCCTGCACACGCAAAATGAGCATGCCATTCTGAAGCAGGACAGAGTGCTCCTCGGAAAACAGATTAAGTTACAGCTGAAGCCACACGGTAGCCATGGTCAGGTGACCCAAAGAACCATTGGGCTGGAGGCTCGTTTTAGCAATGACTTCATATTTTCCTGGTACTGTACATTCGCATTACATGACATCTAACTGAGTAGACCTACTAAAAGTAATACCGGTAGGATGAAAACATGCGAGCTCCTGAGTTTTCTCCTGCAGAATATGGGAAGAAACACAACCCCCAATTGAGCACTCAAGGCTCACGTCTGTAACCCCAGCTACTCAAGAGGCAAACGTGAGGATCGCAGTGCAAAGCCAGCCCGTCAGGGAAGGCTGTGAGACTTATCTCCCATTAAGCATCAGAAAACCAGAAGTGGTGCTGCGGCTCAAGTGCTAGAGCACTGGCCTTGAACTGAAGAGCTTAGGGACAGTGCCCAGGCCCAGAGTTCAAGCCCCCTGACTAACCAAAAAAAAAAAAAAGCACAATCCTGGATCCCCCAGAACAATCAGCAATCAGAGGTAAATCTTCCTTTATCAACCACTAAGTCACAAGAGATGGACTCTAAAAGGCACAGGAACTCATACTCACCCCAGTGGCTCTTCGTTTCTTCCGAACACTCTGGCTGTCGTTTTGTTCGGTGCCAGAGGTACAACTACTGTCTGTGGCAGCATCTGCTAAGGTGGAGGTGGTGAGGGCTGAGGAAGCGTTCAATGATAGAGAGTTTCCTTCTCCATTACTCTCCTGGACATTCTGGTACTCTGACAAGGGTGTGGACCTCTCCTGGCTGGCCAAGTCTTTGGCCAAATGCATCAACGGTATTGCAGGGTCAGCGGGTGGCTGTGTACTATGTCGTCTCTGCGTGCCAATGTTCTCAGCCCTTTCACCTGCTCTGAGGGAGGCGGCCAGAGGGACCACTTCCTGTTTAAGGCACATGGTCGCTTTCTGACTCTGCGCAGCAACAATGTGCTGGGGCTCGTTTTCTTTGCCAGTACCTTCCTCACTAAAGAAGCTATACACAGGAGCCCTGTCCACGACCACGCTGCTCTCGGAAAGGCTTCGCTTTCTTGTCAACCCAGGGGATGAGCAAATGGAAACACCTTCCCAGTGGAATCCTTCTAGATTGGACAGATCAGGCTCCTCATCTAAGTCCAAGGCCTCTTGCTCATTTTGAACCAGAGGTACCATTTCTATGCCAAACCTTAAAGAAAAACAAAAGCACAAATCAGACACAGTTGTGAAGTGGGACACTGTTTTAAAGAGCCAGGCTGTTCAGCTGGGTCCACAAATGAATAAACAAGACGATCCCAAGCCGGGTGTCAGTGCTCATGTCTGTAACCCTACCTACTCAGGAGGCTGAGATCTGAGGATTACGGTTCAAAGCCAGCCTGGGCAGGAAAGTCCATGAGATTCTTATCTCCAATTAACCACTCAAAAAACCAGAAGTGGCGCTGTGGCTCAAGTGGTAGAGTGCTTGCCTTGAGCTGCAGTGCAGGGACAGCACCCAGGCCCAGAGTTCAAGACCCATAACCAACAACAACAACAAAAAAAAAAATTAAAAAAGACAGTCTCTGCCCTCCTGGAGATCACGGTCCGGTGAGTGGTTCAGACATATATATTGCAGTGCTACAAGTAGTAAATTAACATATACCTATGAAAATATGTGAAGAAATAAAAATTGAGGGTTTTATGGCAAATGGAGTTTAAAAACTATAAGTCATTTAAAAGCAAACCAAACAAGCAAAAGAACATGAAAAAACTTACAGGACATTCATTAAATGCTAAGCACTAGCCTAAGAACTTCATATCTGCAATTCCATGTACTAATCCCAGGCGTGGGAAAGTGACAGGGTATAAGATAAATATATTATTTCAACCAGGACAGAAACAACCCTAAGCCTGAATATATATACATATATATGTGTGTATGCATATGTACATATACACACATATATATGTATGTATACATATATATGCACGTACATAAAAATATATAAGCCTGGAGATTTCATACATATGTATATATGAATACTGCAGAATTAGATTTTCAAGTAGCAAACCTATGTTGAACATCCCTTCAACATAAGGTAACAGCCAAATGTTATACAAGCGCTTAGGAGAAAGCATTCTGTGATCCTAAGGAGAGTGCCCAAGTACAGAAAGCAAGGTACTCAGCTACCTGCAGGTTCTCATTGAAAGGGTCATGAGAATAGTTACATGCAAAAGCCGTACCACTCATCCCAAAATTAGGATTTAGAAAAAGATACACACTTAGAGACATACATTTTTATGCTCTCACTTTCTTTAAACTGAAAGTGATGGGATTCTGATGTATTTTCTGCTAGGAGAGACTTTATTCCACCCGTCATAAAATTCCAGTCATGCCAGGCAATACCAGTGGCTCACACCTGTAATCCTAGTTACTCAAGGGGCTGAAATCTGAAGACTGCCATTCAAAGCCAGCCTAAGCAGGAAAGCCCGTGAAACTCCTATTCCAATAAACTACCAAAAAGCCAGAAGTTTAGCTGTGGGGCTCAAGTGGTAGAGCACTAGTCTTGAGCAAAAGAAGCTCAGGGGCAGTATCCAGGCCGTGAAACCAAGTCCCAGGACCAACAAAAAACAAAACAAAAAAAATTAAATCTAAAAGCAAAAAACAAAAACAAACAAAAAAATATATGTCACAAATCATTCTGAGACATCTACAACGGATATTTTTGGCAAACATTTAATTAAACGTAACAGGAGAATTCTCTTGATGAAGCCAAAGGGCAACTTTAAAGAATTTAAGAGATAGCAGCAGCTACTGGAAAAGGCACACACCTGGGTAAGCCTTTGCCTAGCTCTTGCTTTTTCTTGGTTACTTGCTGAATGACCTGCTCCCAGTTGACGTTTCTCCGAGATGCATTTAGAATTTGTCGCAGGGTTGGCTTGAGACCAGATTCTTTCTCTGTTTCACTCTTTCGATGGCCGCTGATGTTGCGAATACGCCGGGCACTGTTGAGGTTCGGCTCGGGCAGGTGGGCTCCGCTTTTGCTCTTCAGACTAATGTGGCGGGTGAGGTCCCTCTGGAGGGAGGCTGGGAAGCCTAGCTTGCTTAGTTCAGGCAGGAGAGGGCCTGAGGGCTGACTACTGTCGTTTTTTTGAAGCTCGGGATCCAGACTGGTACTCTCGAAGCTCTCCGTTTCAAAGAGTGCGTGAGACTTTGCGGGGTCGTCGCCCTGGGCGTGCTCTGGTGCGGTTTTCGAGTCTAGCAGGAGGCCAGCTTGTGGGCTGGCTGTGGGCGCCACATGCACGTCGGATTCTTTGTGCAGAAGTGTGGCATTGCATGGGGAAGTGGCAGGCTTCCTACCCGTTTCCAGGCTCTCCTCGTCTCCTTTCTCATCAGCAGTGTGGGCGCTGCATGACAAAGTTTCCGTCGCTGTAGAACCCACGGCGGTCCTGGTTTTTGGTTCCGGCTTTTCCATGTCTGATGCCTCCCCATCACTCTCATCTTCGAATGCAGGTACTGGAAACTCCATCTTCAAGGACCCCTTTTCAGACCCTTCCACATTCCTACTTGCCTTCTCGTGGCTTCTGCTCCTTTTAGAAGAGCTGGGGAGTGTCTTGGGACACGGTGGCCTCTCCTGGACTTTCTCCAATGTGTCATTTAGATTCTCCTCAGGTTCCTTCGGAGTGCCGGATGTCGTTTTATTCCCTTTTAAGCCTCGAGGACCTGGGCTGCGCAACTTGGGGACATGTGAAGAGCCAGGATCATCTTCCACAGCGGGTTTGTTCAAGGGATTTGAATGTTCCTCAGGAAACCGAGAATGGGCTTCGGGGGGCTTGGGGGGATTCTTCGGATCTCGTTTTTGAGGCGCGGCTTTGGGGGTGGGAAGCGGGAGGAGAGGGGACTTGGGCGGCGCTCTCTTCTCTGAGCTGCGCGGTGGCTCGGGCGGCTCTGTGCGGGGGCAGCCCCTCCCCTCACTGGACGGGGTGCCTTCACAAACGTCTTTGCAGTTCAGAAACCCAGAACGTATTTCTTTTTGTGTTTTCAGCATTGGGGAATTGTTTGCTTCTTCCGCTTGAGGTTCTTGTGCGCCTGCGGTTATCAAGCTAAAGTTAAAAAGAGGTTTATCTATCTTTTCGGACTTGTTGCTAGTGATTTCTTTCAAGCCCGACAGTAAATCCAGATTCCTCTGCGAAGGGTAGGGAGTCCAGCGGCGGAACTTTTCCCTTGCTGCGTTACCGTTCTTGCCGTTCATTTTGGAAGCTGGCGGGGGGTCTGTTGGTTTAGGAGTTTGGCTTTCTGACGGCTCGAAATTGAATTCGAGCAAGCCTTCGGAAGGAAACGCACTGCTGGCAAATCCTTCAGAAGGACCCCTGAATGTGCTGGCCTTGTCTTTCTCCTGCCACTGCCATTTGTAGCGCTCTGGATTGTACTTGCTGGCCTTACTCAATTTCTTGTTCCACGGCCCAGTCTTGTCTTCCATTTGATAGTTCGCGTTTCTGCCTCGGCCTTGTTGGAATTTGTCTGCCGGGCCATTGTAATTCCAGCTATTTGTACTACGTACGTTGGATTTCCAGTTTCCGTTGTTGTTGTTCATATGCCAGCTGGGAAATCCACCTGTTCCCTCAGAATGCCAACTGGAATTCCTTCCTGTAGCGTTGTAATTCCAGTCTACCACCCCACTATTTGGATGCCAACCACCGCCAGAATTACTGTGGTTGTGAAACCAGCCTGAGGAGCCTCTTGCAATACCTTTGTGCCACCCAGAGCTTCCTCTGGGCCCAGCGGCATTCCTCAAAGGATGTGAAAAGCTATTTTTCCTAGTATTATTAAAGCCATCCTTTTCCCATTTCCAGTCCCGCTGTGGAGGGCCACGATGATGCCTGGCTGATTGGCTGTAACTCTCTCTGTCTTGATAAGGGATTCGGTCTTCTCGTCTCCATTGGGGTTGCCGGTCATCTGAGTTTATTTCTTGGCTGCTTTTTGAAGATTCATCTTGTCTGGGGAAGGCAAAAAAAAAAAAAGTATTTCATTAAAGGAATTCTGCTTCCTTTTATAGGCATAACCTGTAAAACATTCCCCTTTATCCTTTCCCCACCCCCCATTACTTTCATGATATAGTCACCTATTTTGGTTTCTAACAGTGGCTGCTTTCCTATCTTTAGATGATCTGGTTAAACTTATGTAAATCTATTAACTTAAAAGTAAATAATGTATTTACTTCTGAATGTGTATTTTTTCTAAATCCTAATTTTGGTTTTGGAGTTTTTTGGGGCATGTTCTGATATATTGTTTCTATTTTCCTGTGATTACTCTTACATCATGTAGCATTTTCAAAGTACAATTATATTTTGTGGTTATGATTATTATTGACTCAATTATATATTCATTCAGCTGACCTTCAAACCTGATTTTCGCAGTTACAAGTTCTTTCTGAAAAAAAACAATTCAATTCCTTAATCCTATTTTAAATGGTTATATTATATTTTGCATGTCCTCTTTCATGAATACACACTTTATTACATCCCTATTCAATGGCTGTTAGTAGAGTAAGAAAGCTTCTGTGTATACTTTCTGTCCATGATGGCTTACAACAAAGCCAAGGAAATCATAGACAGGAGTGAAATGCGTACACCAAATAAGAAGCACTCGGGTAAGTACAAAGAAGTTCCCATTCTACAAAACAGTATTGAATACAAAGTGTCTGATAACATTGTCACCCATCATGAGCTAGAGAGCTTTTCAAAGAAACTACAGTTGTTTGAACAGAACTGTTTGTAGAAAAGGTCACAGCAACAGATATCATAGCATTTTCCTTTATAAACTGTGCTATGCCTAGTACAGTGCTTGGCACATGACAAGTGCTAAAAATGCTGATACTAATACTAAAATTTACTATCATCCAGTAAGCGTCAGGCATTTAATGTCTGATTCTTATCGGTCCTACTCTTAGATGGCTGACAAGATTGAAGAGTAGAGTGATCCACCAATTTGCCTAGAGTTAAGACAGTTGGAAAGTGGCAGATATTTGAACCTTGGCACTGAAGGCAGTGCTTACGTTCCCAAGTGCTAGGATTTATTAGAATGAAAACAATATTTCTGTAACTCTTTTTCTGTAAGCATGACTTAAATCTCAAAACCAGCACTGACATTATTTTTGTGCATGTGTTTGCTTTTAGTATAAGAGATCGAACCCAGGATGCTGCACTTGCTGGGTAAGCGCTTTGCCACTGAGCAACATGCCAGCCCCCAACATTCATGTTGATTTGCTTGAAAAGCATTCAATGTCTAAAAGATCTTCAACACAATTGGAATTCCTCCCCCCCCCCCTTTTTTTGGTCAGTCATAAGGCTTGAACTCTGGGCCTGAGCTCTGTCCTTCAGCTCTTCAGCTGAAGGCTAGCACTCTACCACCTGAGCCACAGTATCACTTCCAGTTTTCTGGCAGTTTACTGGAGATAAGCGTTTCACCTTTCCCTCCTGGGCTGGCTTTGATCTCAGCCTCCCAAGTAGCTGGGATTACAGGCATGAGCCACCGGCAACCAGCTTCCTTCCCTTTTTATAAGATGGAACTAAAAGTCAATATATGAAGGCTAGGCACAGTGGTTCATACCTGTAATCCAAGCACTCATGAGGGTAAGGCAAGGAAATTGGCCATTTGAGACCTGACTGGGCTTTCCAGTGAGGGAGTCTGTGACCAATTTGGGCCACAAAGCAAGACTCAAAAAAAGTTAATCTATCTCAAAAAGTTCAAACACTCTTACATTATCAGTGACACCCAGGTCTATATACATGACCTGAAGTAGCACACATTATTATATTCACTAACAGCAGTTTTCATTGCTGACATTAACCCAGTTGCTTTTGTCACTTTCATTTCTAAACAGCCAGTTTTTGACATTCAAAAGGACCAGGGAACAAGGGGTTCTCCAATGACCAATGACTGATTACCAGACTAATCAGAAATGAGCAAATCTGGGAGAAATTCCACATAAAGTGCCCAGATTTGAGGAACAATAGCATCCAGAAAACCTCATAAAATTAAAAATTTCATAAAAATCTCAATAAAAATCTCAAAACGGGGAGGGGGGAGACAAAGAAGCAAAAACCCAAAAACAAAAAAGAACTTCATTAAGAAATATGAGCCTAGGAAGTGGCTCTGTAGTTCAAGTGGTAGAGCAGCGCTCGCCTTGAGCTGGAGAGCTGAGGGACAGCGCTCAGGCCCAGAGTTCAAGGCCCACAACCGACCAAAAATAATAATAATAATAATAATAACAATTTGGGTCTGGGATCTGAAGACTAAGGTTCAAAGTCAGCCTGAGAAGAAAAGTGAAATCCTTTTCTCCAACTAGCTACCAGAAAGCCAAGTAGAACTGTGGATCAAACAGTAGAGTACTCACTTGGGGGGGTGGGGGAGTGGGGGGAGAGCTAAGGACCAGTACCCAGGCCCTAAATTCAAGCCTCAGTACCAGAACACACACACACACCCCAGAGTATATTCTAGTACTTGGGAGGTTAGGAAAGGAGGATCTCAAGTTCAAGGCCAGCCTGAACTATACAAGTTTAAGACCAGCTTGTATTACATATCAAGGCCCATTCCTGCAAAAATAGGTAAGTAAACACAAAAGAAATCTTTTAATGGCTGAGAATGTGGCTTAGTGGTAGAATGCTTGCCTAATATACATAAAGCCCTTGGCTCAAGTCCTTAGTACCACATAATCAGAAAAAGCTGGAAGTGGGCTAGGAAAGTGGCTCAGTGGTAGGGTGCGTGCCTTGCATACATGAGGCCCTGGGTTCGATTCCTGAGTACCACATAAGCAGAAAAGGTTGGAAGGGGGGCTGTGGCTCAAGTGGTAGGGCGCTAGCCTTGAGCTAAAAGAGCTGAGGGACAGAGACCAGGCCCATAGTTCAGGCTCCATGACTGACCCCCCCCCCCAAAAAAAAAAGGTGGAAGTGATGCTATGGCTGAAGTGGGAGAGTTCTAGCCATGAGTTCAAGCCCCAGGACTGGCAAAAAAAATAATAATTTTTTTAATTAGAAGATTTATATAAAAGGACTTCATGGAAGCATATAAAAAATTCAAAGAACTTAGTAAGTACAAGTACTGTCTAATGTTTAGTCATTTACAGAACATGCTAATAATGGCACATTAAATGTACAGAAACAAAGCCAAAGACAATGTCCAAGAGGCTCAGCTTCTGAAAACACAGCTGTACTACAAGTGTTAATGTCATTTGAAGGACTAAGCACTCAATGATTTAAAAACCTCACTGCTATAGACATTTTAAGACCAAGTCTTTAAGACTTGATCAAAAAATCTCTAATATATATATATAGATATAGATATATAGTAAAGACTACATTTTTCCCTTCCTATATTCAAATCTCTAAAAAGGAAGTAGACAGGTAAGTATAACTAGCATTCAGAGATTTTTTTTTTTAATTGTGAAAATACCGTACAGAAGGATTACAATTACATGGACAAGGTAATGAGTACATTTCTTATAAAGCATTGTTGCCTCCTCCTGTTTGCCTTTACCATCCCTTCCAATCTCCCCCACACCGCCGCCCTCACCCCACTCCTCCCTTCCTCCCCCCCCACACCCTCCAGCCAAATTGTAAAGTTCATTTTCAGACATAACGTCTTGTATAGCTCATTATTGCAATGGGTCCACCTGTATCCCTATCTAAACAATTTGTTTTTTCCCTTCCCCTCCAACATCGAATACAGTGAAAACAGGGGCCTTTCATAGATCATTCTTGTACTCATATCTTGAAAATTTTTCCCCACTACATTAAACTCTTTAGACCACAAAATCAGTGAACTAAAATCACAAGTGCCTAAACTTGAATACTTAATGCAGGTATAAAATTATGTAGTACAAACCAGAAGTTGGTCTAACAATGTGCCAAATTTAAAATATAAACTAATTCAATAAATATCATAAAGGTTCTTAAGAGTAAATCAAGCTCTGTGCTGGTCACCAGGGATTCAAAGACAGAAAAATCAAATTTGGCAGAAGTAGAATGCTAATTCAAAAGAAACTTGTATTCCTAAGCGTTTGGCAATAAGACAAAAAACAAACAAACAAACAAACAAAAACCTAGTTTACCCAGTGACATTTTTAAAATGTGGATGCCAATAAAATAATTATGAACATGGTAGATATGTAGCTAGCTTATCTAAGGACAGGATTGAGTTTAGGTTGCTTTTGGAACAGAAAGTATTTCACCACTGTGCCTTATTCTGCAGAGAGCAACCTCTAACTAAACCTTATTAATTAAGGTAAGTGTAAATGCTATAGACTGAAGAGGTTAAAAAACAAAAGTAAAATGTATTTTCTATGTTCTGATACAGATAGGCTTATTTTGGAAATTCAAAATCATGACTTACCGGTTTTGTTCTTTCCTTTGTTTTATTAACTGAACGAGCTCCTTGTCAAAATATTCTTCTTCTTCTTCCTCTCCCTTTCCGTCATCTTCTCTTTCCTGGGCATCAACGTTATCTTTGTGCAACTGGCCAGAAATGTGCTTTGCATAGGCAGAAAGGCCCACTTCTGTGACCCCACACACTCGGCACTCATGACTACTGTCCCTAGGGAAAGAGGGAGATGAGGGACATTCAATTCTCCCCACTGGCATGGCACACTCACCAGAGCTGCTAGAGTTTCCTCTGAAAGACAATGCACGAGTTGGCACGGTGAAAAATCAGTGCTAATCAATTCCAATGCTCCTTGCATCACTTTTAGTAAGTTTGCTTGTTAAGTTACTTTCTAAATGAATTGGTTCTTTTCCAGCAATCAAGAGGCAATACACTTCAGATTAATGTTCTTTAGGAGGAGAAATCTTCTTGAATTGCTGGACTTAAGAGTCTTGCCAGAGGAAACATGGTGAAAGGGAGGCAGGGCAGGGGGCCCAGAGCAAACCTGAGTTGCTCTAGAGCACACCCATGGTGCCAGCTGCACTCAGAAGGCCTGGAGACAGCACTTCCATTTAATCTCCAGCCCTCCAGCTGTCTTCCAGTGAAAGTCAAGGGGTGGAGAAAAGAGGAGGCGGTGCAGCCAATCCCATCATGGTAACTAAATAGGAACAGCTGGAGCTCTGCCTGGAATGTGTAGATTCCAGGCCTTGACGTGGGGGCAAATGATAGAAGAGTCATCCCAGCAAACTTTTTTTGGTCTGGATGATACATGCAATCTACATTCTGCAGCAGAAGGTCTTATTTTTAAGGGAATGGAAAGCATTTCAGTTGTAGGAAGTTAACAGCTGTGTCGGACAAATGTTTATTCTCAAGTTTCACAAAAATGCTACAGTTCAGAAAGAAGAAAACTGAGTTTTCAACCAACTGGGCAGACTGGAAAGTTGTCTTACCATTCCCTCCCTCACTTAAATTTTGCTGGACATGCTTAACAGTAAAAATCCCATATTTGGCCAATCTTTTTTTTTTTTTTTTTTTTGGTTGGTCTCGGGGCTTGAACTCTGTCTGGGCTTGGGCGCTGTCCCTGCACTCTTCAGCTCAAGGCAAGCACTCTACCCCTTGAGCCACAGCACCACTTCCTGTTTTCTAGTGGTTTATTGGAGATAAGAGTCTCAAGGAGTTTCCAGTCGGGCTGGCTTTGAAATGTAATCCTCAGATCTCAGCCTCCTAAGTAGCTAGGATTACAGGCGTGAGCCACCCGGTGCCCAGTTTAGCCAGTCTTAAAGAGTTAAAGGTCTTGAACTTTCTGCAGACCTATATCAGATCAATAATACATCTGCTTTTCAGCTTCCTCAGATCCTCTGATTTCATCTGTGAGATCACTTTGGAGAACACGTAAAAACCTCAGATGCCAAACATTCAATAATCCAAATTAGCATAACCCAGTGTTACATGTCTTGTGTTTTATGCTAGTGATATTTTTGTACTTCCTATGCCAGTATATATTGTACAATCAACATAAAAAGTCTTGTTTTGGGCAAGAAAGAAACGCGTGTACCTTTAATTTTTTTCTCATATCTTCCTAACTAGACTCAGGTCAAATTTATCTCCAATGGAAGAAATGCTCTGGGAGAACTTTACTTCAAGACAGTTTCTGTTACAGACCACTGAATGCTTTATTGAGCAACTGCTAAACGCCAGGTACCAAGTTATATCACCTAAGGTGAAGAACTACAAACACACAAATAGCAGTCCCTTCAATAAAATTAATATTGTGGGGCTAGAACTGTAGCACAATGGTAGAGCTCTTGATTAGTAGACATGAACCTTGCGTTTGATCCCCAGCACTGGAAAAATAACTTAAAAAAAAAAACACAATACTGTTTGTAAATCATAGAGAATAGAAAAATGGAGAAATTTTGTAGGTTTTTTTTTTTTTCACCTTTTGGGGGACTTTGTAACTAACGTGCTATTTTTTAAACAGGTCTTGGGGCTAGAACTCTGGACCTGAGCACTGTCTCTGAGCTTCTTTTGCTCAAGGTGAGCACTCTAACATCCAAGCCACAGCGCTACTTCCTACTTTTTTTAAGTAGTTTATTGGAGTCTATCAGACTTTCCTGTTGGGGTGAGTAACTAGGATTACAAGCACTGGTGCCCAATTTAAAGTGCTAATATTTTAAATATTCCTTTTAATGAGTTCTGACCAGGTTCCTTGAAATGATTGGTAACTAGTCTTGAATTATCAATATTTTAATTCCTTCTCATTTCACAGATACCTCTTTTTTGGGGGAAGAGGACTGAGTCTACGGTTTGAACTCAGGGCTTTATTTATAACTTGCTCACCTGGTGCTCTTACCATTTGAGCCATGCTATGAGGCTTTCTTTCTGCTAGATATTTTGGAGATGGAGTGTCAAGAACTTTGCTGCCTTTGCTAGCTTCAAATCACGATCGTGAGTAGGTACCAGCTACTCAGCTGGTGTGATCCACCAGCACCTGGCTTTTCACAGGTACTTTTTTTTTTTTTTGGTGCCAGTTCAAAGGGCTTGTGCTTGAACTGAGCCTGGGCATTGTCCCTAAGCTTTTTGCTCAAGGCTAGTACTCTTATCACTTGGTCACAGCTCCACTTCTGGTTTTTTGTTTTTGGTGGTTAACTGGAGATAAAGAGACTCTTGGACTTTCCTGCCCTGGCTGGCTTAGAATTGGTGATCCTCAGATCCCAGCATCCTGAGTAGCTAGGAATACAGGTGTGAGCCAATGGCACCAGCTTCACCAGGACTTTTAAATACACTACTTCCACTGGGAGGTTTTTGTTTTTTTGGGGGAGGGGAGGGGGGGCCAGTCCTGGGAACTGAACTCTGGGCCTGGGCGCTGTCCCTCAGCTCTTCAGCTCAAGGCTAGTGCTCTACCACTTGAGCCACAGTGCCACTTCCGGCTTTTTTCTTTTTGCTTATGTGGGGCTGAGGAATCGAACCCAGGGCCTCATGCATGCAAGGCAAGCACTCTACCACTGAACCACCTTCCCAGCCCCTCCACTGGGAGTTTTGAACTGTGCTTACTACATTTATACACCTAATGAATTACCTTCAAGTTTCTCCAGCGTACTTGGGATGAACATACTCTTCTCTAAAGAAACTAAACTGACGGCAGCTTATTCTAAGTGGATGCTAACTTGTAACAGAAAACAAGCTGCTTCTCTTGGCAGCACAGAAAAAGTCTTAAAAAAGGCTATGAACATGAATCCCTCTCTCTCTCTACAGTGGGTAGCATCAGAAAAATTAGGGGTCTATAGTAAACCTAGAATACCTAAGTTACATCACAGTAGAAATTCAGACCAACTTAATTTGCTTTGGTAAGCTTTCTGAAACCATGTAAAATGCCTTGGTCCACTTTTCCATCTAAGACCTTACAGACTGATAAACCAAACACTGCAGCAGCAACTTTAGCACAAATCCTGAGAGATCTTTAATCAAAATGCCAGATGTTATTGTTAATTCCTAAGATGCAGAGTTTTTTCTTAGGTTCAAGGCATCAGAATCTGTTTAAAGATACCAACAAAGCTGGATACTGGTGGCTCATGCCTGCAATCCTAGCTACAAAGGAGGCTGAGAACTGAGGATCATGGCCTGAAGCCAGACTGAGCAGAAAAGTCTCTGAGACTCTCATCTCCGATTAACCAGAAGTGCTGCTGTGGCTCAAGGGGTAGAGTGCTAGCCTTGAGTACTTGAGTACAAAGAGGCTCAAGGACAGCACCCAGGCCTTAAGTTCAACTAACCAAAAAACAAACAAACAAAAAAACCAACAAGCAACAAGCTTGGGGTGGAGGTCACCTGTAAAGTGTTTGGGTTCATACGACCCAGGTTCAACCCAGGTTCGTTCCCAGCACAAAGAGAGACACAGGCAGATAACTGGCAGGTCCCACCAACATTTTAAGCATTAAAGAATGTAATACAAGGTTTGCAGAATTCAATTCCATTAAAAGTAACTACCTAGGAGCTGGGCGATGGTGGCTCATGCCTGTAATCCTAGCTACTCAGAAGGCTGAGATCTGAGGATCACAGTTCAAACCCAGAACAGGCAAGAAAGTCCCTTATAAACCACCAGAAAACCAAAGTGGTGCTGTGGTTCAAGTGGTAGAGAGCTCACCTTGAGCTAAGGAGCTGAGGGACAGCACCCAGACCTAGAGTTCAAGACCCACAAATGACAAAAAAAAAAAAAGTGGGCTGGGGCCGGGCGCTGGTGGCTCACGCCTGTAATCCTAGCTACTCAGGAGGCTGAGATCTGAGGATCGCGGTTCAAAGCCAGCCCGGGCAGGAGAGACCGTGAGACTCCTATCTCCAATAAACCACCAGAAAACCGGAAGTGGCGCTGTAGCTCAAGTGGTAGAGCGCTCGCCTTGAGCTGAAGAGCTGAGGGACAGCGCCCAGGCCCAGAGTTCAAGTCCCACGACCGACAAAAAAAAAAAAAAAAAGTGGGCTGGTAAAGTGGCTCAGTGGTAGAGCACTTGCCTTGCATGCGTGAAGCCCTGGGTTTAATTCCTCAGTACCATATGAACAGGAAAAAGCCTGAAGTGGCACTGTGGCTCAAGTGGTAGAATGCTAGCCTTGAGCAAAAGAAGCTCAGAGACAGTGCCTAAGCACTTAGTTCAAGCCCCAGGACTGGCAAAAAAAAAAAGTAACCATCTAAAGCCAGGCACTGGTGGCTCACACTTGTAATCTCAGCTATTCAGGAAGCTGAGATCTGATGATTAAGGTTCAAAGCCAGTCCAGGAAGTCCATGAGACTTTTATTGGCAATTAACCAGCAAAAAGCCAGAAGTAGAAATGTGGCTTGAGTGGTAGAAAAGCATCCTTAAGCAAGAATAAGAGACAATTTCCAGACCCTGAGCTCAAGCCCAAGTACGGACATACCCACACAAGAAAGTAATAATCCATAATCATAGATCCACACACTCTACAATCCCCAAAGAACCAGTACATGATAGGGACTTAATAGACATTAAACACTATTTAAAAAAAAATTTTTTTGGTTCCGGTTGTGGGGCTTGAACTCTGGGCCTGCGCGCTGTCCCTCAGCTCTTCAGCTCAAGGCTAGCGCTCTACCACTTGAGCCACACCGCCACTTCCAACTTTTTCTACTTATGTGGTGCTGAGGAATCGAACCCAGGGCCTCATGCATGCAAGGCAAGCGCTCTACCACTGAGCCACCTTCTCAGCCTGAGATTCTTATCTCTAAACATTACCAAAACAGAAGTGAAGCAGTGGCTCAAAGTAACTGCAGGTTAGCCTTGAGCAAAAAGGTTCAGCACAGAGCCCAGGCTCTGAGTTCAAGCCCCACCACCAACAAAACCAACAAACAATAAATATCTTTGTGAGGGAAAATATAACCACAGTTCCAAAGGTATTTGATAAAAAAAAATTAGTAATCCTGCCAAAAAGGATACAATTGTGTTAAGTGTAATATAAAAGTTAACACCAAAAATGATCTTATAAAAAAAAAAAAAATCCTGAACATTTTTTTGTGTCTAGTTCTGAAAACTTTGTAAGAAACTTTTGGAAGGAGGGCAAGTATATTTGTTTGGAGAAGAAACAGGGTAGGACAACCATATCTTCTGAAAACTCAGTGTGTCCAGGACAGCCATACACCCCTGCCCGCTCCACACACAATGCCTGCTCAAACTTTCTCATGCGGTGTTCAGAAAAGTTAATTGCAAATTAAATAATACTTTATTGGGAAATAGTTACTTTCAAATTCTTTTACTTAATAACTGGCTTAAATACTTTACGTACACAAATAACAATAGGAAAATGATTGTTTTGTAAAGGGAATAATCTTCCTCAGAGTGTTTAAAAGAGCTTAAATTAGCTCCATCCTGTTACCACACAATTTCCTCTCTTGTGTGAAAGGCAGTCTTAAGATACTCTGCATAAGCTTTTCTTTATTAAGCTTGCTCTAACTACACCACAACAGCTGCTTGATAAATAAAGGTTTAAGCCTTTTAATAGCTTCTATCTGGAGAAACCACTTTTAGACCACACATCTGAACAAATACACTAGAAAAAAGCAGGGAAATGCTCCAGATGTCCAAAATTGTGAACAAAAGAGGCCCAATTACTTCTCATTCAAGTTTGCATTCAAAACTTTTTTTTTTTGATCCGATCGTGGGGCCTGAACTCTGAGCCTGGGCGCTGTCCCTCAGCTCTTCAGCTCAAGGCTAGCACTCTACCACTTGAACCACAGCGCCACTTCCGGCTTTTTTCTTTTTGCTTATGTGGTGCTGAGGAATCAAACCCAGGGCCTCAGGCATGCAAGGCAAGCACTCTACCACTGAGCCACCTTCCCAGCCCCTGCATTCAAAACTTTTAAAATATGTACCTTACAATTCTGAACCAGGTCACAACTAGCAGTGATAGAGGCTACTATTGCCAGGGAGTCTTAATATCAGAAAGCCAATATTTAAACAGTAAATGGAGAGCAAATCGTCACAAATTGGAGATGACGGGAAAAAGGAGCGAGAATTGCTGAGTATTTTTCCCTACCCTACAACTAACGATGACTGTATTTAGGTTAAATGCTCCAAGGCAGTGAGCTATGTTTGAGATCTGTTTCAAGTAACTGCTTATTTACCTCACTGTTATAATTATATTGTAGTACATATGGGGCAGGTGGCAGTTAAATAGCTCAGAATAAGGTGAAATACAGAAGGAAATGTATCAGCAATGGGATTTATAAATATTAAAATAATCTAGCTGGGCACCTGTGGCGCACGCCTGTAATCCTAGCTACTCAGGAGCTGAGATCTGAGGATCACGGTTCAAAGCCAGCCCAGGCAGGAAACTCTGTGAGACTCTTCTCTACAATAAACCACTAAAAAACTGGAAGCGGTGCTGTGGCTCAAGCCGTAGAGCACTCGCCTTGAGCTGAGTAGCGCAGGGACAGCGCCCAAGCCCAGAGTTCAAGCCCCATGACCAATCAAAAAATAAATAAAATAAACCACACATATAATCCAAAGTTAATGACATTAAATCTGAGTGAAATCCTCTTAATACTGGCATTAAACATAACCGCCACACTATGTAAATGGGCAAAATTCCCCTAATATGCTAAAGAGGCTGAAAGCTGAATAACACACAACCTAAAACCTATGTCTTACTATGACTCAGGATGATAGCCCTAATGAAAACTTTCAACTGATTCTCAGGGGATGAAATATAAGTTCATAGCTCTCAGATTCCCAGTACTAATGTTCAGTCTCCACACTTCAATCCACAAAAGTCAACACATCAACAACAATCCATGGGTGAAAAAAGGGAGAGGGACTGTGCATGCTACATTTCCCTTTAAAACCTGCCTACTTATTAGACTGGCTTCCCTTAAACATCTCAAGCTTAGAGCAACAAAAGCGGATCCCCAAATACACTGAAGGTCTGTTGTTCGCATTTTGCTTACACTAAGGAGATTCAGTACCATCTAACCGGCTTTGGCTTTTCTGAGTATTCCCACAATAGTATTTAATAGTCTTGCGACACTGCTAAAGGGAGAGTGGGAAATGTCTGAGTTGCAAGGTGGCTTGTAGGAACGAGACACTGTACTAATCAGAGAACAGGAGCATCCCAGCTCACCCTTCCTTTTCCTCCACTCGCCAGAGGTGCTGTGGACTCTACATGCTTGTGGACGCACAATACCAAGAGGTTTATCCCAACTGAATGCCAAACGCGTGTGTTTGGCATTAACTCTAAATAATCATTCTACGGCGAAGGACGATGTTCACGATGAAAGGGCTTAGTATAAAATATGAGCCGACAGGCACCACCAGCACTCAGATCCCCCACAATCTCAAGCTTATGGAAGGAAGAGAGCCATTCCCATACCTGCCCTTCAGGTTCTCAAGTTCCCTGTGATGCAACATGCTCCGCATGTGTTCGTCCATCTCCTTCAAAATTAAAGAAAGCAGATTAAACTAAGTGGGATTGCTTTGGGGAAAATCTTTCACTGTTCCTATTCAAGCACTACCTGGGGATCAAGAGCCTTGTGTCAAAGTTTTGTGACCACGTGTATTTAATAACAAGTTTGTGATTACTCTTCTAAATATAATATTGACATTAGTTCCTTATTTAAAAACTCTTTCGCTGTGTCAGATACTGGTCCTAGCCACTCAGGAGGCTGAGATCTGAGGATTACAGTCTGAAGCCAGTTGAGACAGTAAAGTCAGTGAAACTTAGTTCTATTTAGCCAGCAAAAAGCCAGAAGCAAAGCTGTGGCTCAAGTGGCAGAGCACCAGCCTTAGGCTTTGAAAAAGCTAAGTGACAGTACCCGGGTTGTTTCTGATTTTTTTCATTTTTTTTTTGGTTGGTCGTGGGGCTTGAACTCTGGGCCTGAGCGCTGTCCCTCAGCTCTTCAGGTCAAAGCTAGTGCTCTACCACTTGAGCTACAGCGCCACTTCTGGTTTTTGGGTGGTTTATTGGAGATTAAGAGTTTCAAGGACTTTCCTGCCGGGGCTGGCTTTGAGCTGCGATCCTCAGATCTCAGCCTCCTGAGGAGCTAGGATTACAGGCATGAGCCACTGGCTCCCAGCAATTTTTTTCACTTTTTAAGTGGCTTTTCAAAATGGCTGGAACTAAGCAAGGGTTAAGAAGGAACTTGTAGGTTATATTCTACCTCATTATCAGCAGTTCAAACACTACTTCATCTTCACTGTCCAGTCCCTTTTTCCCAAATTGATTTATTTGGATCTAATGATCAGACCATTTACTAGATTCTGCATCCCAGAGAATAGAAAAATAAAATCTGTGGAAAAGCTATCACTTAACTGGGCACTGGTAGCTCATGTGTGTAATTCTATCTATTCAGGAGGTTGAGATCTGAGAATTATGGTTCAAATCCAACGCTGCCAGGAAAATCTGAGACTCTTATCTCCACTAAACTACCAATGACACTAAATTACTAAACTACTATGAGACATAGCTTCCATGGAGCTATGTCTCAAGTGGCAGAGCAGTAGCCTTAAGCTTAAGATGCTCAGAGGGGCTGGGAATGTGGCTTAGTGGTAGTTTGCCTAGCATGCATGAAGGCCCAGGGTTCGATTCCTCGTACCAAATAAAAAGGAAAAGCTGGAAGTGGCACTGTGGCTCAAGTGGTAGAGTGCTAGTCTTGAGCAAAAGAAGCTTAGGGACAGTGCTCAAGCCCCAGGACTGGCCAAAAAAAAAAAAAAAAGATGCTCAGAGACAACATCTAAGCCCTGAATTCAAGACCCAGGATTGCCATTCCCCCCCCCCCCCCCAAAAAAAATGCTCACAGCTGGGTATGACACATGCCTATAATACTAGTACCCAGGAGGCAGAAGGTAAATCTGAGTACAGCCTGGGCTATAAAGCAAGACCTTAGCTCAAAAGAAAAATCAAATCAAAGTAAAATACAAACAAAATAACCTCCCCTGTCCCCCTTTCTCTCAAAAGAGCTGTAAATAGCACTGGTGGCTCAAACCTGTCATCCTAGCTACTCAGGAGGCTGAGATCTGAGGATCACAGTTCAAAGACATCCTGGGAAGCAAAGTGGAAAAAAAGCTGTAAATGTCTTTCCCTTTGTCACTGATAGCTGATGGATATGTATATGGTAATAAATAGCTACTGCAACTGTTAAGTGTTACTGTTTACTATTCCCTTGTGGTAAGTGTCTCAAATATTTACTTTCTCACTTAAACTTCAGGAATACCCAAGGAGGCAGAGAAGATCACTTCTCCATCCACAGAAACTTCTCTGATGAGTACGTGTCAAGTCTGGAGCTGGGTTTTAAGGGGCTAAATGTGATCATAGAACATCAAGTGGGCAGCCGGGCGCCGGTGGCTCGCGCCTGTCATCCTAGCTACTCAGGAGGCGAAGATCTAAGGATCACAGTTCAAAGCCAGCCCGGGCAGGAAAGTACGTGAGACTCATCTCCAATAAACCACTAGAAAACTGGAAGTGGCGCTGTGGCTCAAGCAGTAGAGCGCTCGCCTTGAGCTGAAGAACGCAGGGACAGCGCCCAAGCCCAGAATTCAAGCCCCACAACCAAAAAAAAAAAAAAAGAAAATCAAGTGGTCAAATTGGATAGGGCAGATGTGACACCAAGGCCAACGTTTCGAATGCCATGTTATGCCGTAAGCATCCACTGCATTGAGATTTTTCACTATGCGTTGTTCAATTGTCAGAAACAGCATCATCAACAACCCTCTATTAAGTTATCCTCTATAGGCAGACACAGGGCTGTGACGCAAAACTCTTCCTTTAGATGACAACCACTTCCTTACCATCTCTAAGTGCTTCATCTGGACAGATGTTTACCTGTGACCTAACTGACCAACCATGGACTATGACACTGACACAGGTAAAGACATGGTCATGGACATAAAACCCATGAATAAATACACACATCATCTTATCTCAAGACCCTAAGCTCCTTGTTCTTCAATTTTTTTTTCTATAATTTAGATTCCTATCCATATGTCAACTCCTCTTTTTTTTTTTTGTCGGTTGTGGAGCTGGGCCCGGGTGCTGTCCCTCAGCTCTTCAGCTTAAGGAGAGTGCTCTATCACTTGAGCAACAGCACCACTTCTAGTTTTCTGGTGGTTAACTGGAGGTAAGAGTCTCACAGACTTTCCTGCCTAGGCTGATTTTGAACTGTGATCCTCAGATTTCAGCCTCCTCAGTAGCTAGGATTATAGGCGTGAGCCACAGGTGCCTAGGGTGCCTGGCAACTCCTCTTTTCCGTAGCTAAATTTAAATGGGCTTTGTTTCTAATGCAACTAAATTATTTCAACAGTAGTCATTTATCTGGATTTACTCCAAAATAAAAACCAATTCTGTATTTTACTTATTGTGAAAATATTATTCTGGTCTGACGGTATGTGTCTCGAATGGTAGAGTGCCTGTCTACTTAAAAACAGAGGAAAAGGGCTGGGAAGGTGGCTCAGTGGTAGAGCGCGTGCCTTGCATGCCTGAGGCCCTGGGTTTGATTCCTCAGCACCACATAAGCAAAAAGAAAAAAGCCGGAAGTGGCGCTGTGGCTCAAGTGGTAGAGCACTAGCCTTGGGCTGAAGAGCTGAGGGAGAGCGCCCAAGCCCAGAGTTCAGGCCCCACGACGGTACCCAAAATAAAAACATGAGAAAAAAAAAAGAATTTTAGGGCTGGGAAGGTGGCTCCGTGGTAGAGCGCTTGCCTTGCATGCCTGAGGCCCTGGGTTCGATTCCTCAGCACCACATAAGCAAAAAGAAAAAAGCCGGAAGTGGTGCTGTGGCTCAAGTGGTAGAGTGCTAGCCTTGAGCTGAAGAGCTGAGGGACAGTGCCCAGGCCCAGAGTTCAGGCCCCACAAAAAAAAAAAAAAAAAAAAAAGAACTTTAAAAAAGTTATTCAAAACTATATGCAATAGATTTTTTTTTTTTTTGGGTCCAGTCGTGGGCCTGAACTTTGGGCCTGGGCACTGTCCCTCAACTCTTCAGCTCAAGGCTAGCGCTCTACCACTTGAACCACAGCGCCACTTCCGGCTTTTTTTCTGCTTATGTGGTACTGAGGAATCGAACCCAGGGCCTCATGCATGCAAGGCAAGCACTCTACCACTGAGCCACCTTCCCAGCCTATAACTTTTACTTTTTGTTTTGTTTTGTTTTTGTTTTTGTCGGTCGTGGGGCTTGAACTCTGGGCCTGGGCGCTGTCCCTCAGATCTTCAGCTCAAGGCGAGTGCTCTACCACTTGAGCTACAGCGCCACTGCAATAGATTTTTGACTTTCAAAAACACTTCACTGAGCCTTTCCTAAAGTTGTATGTAAACTCTTCTCCAGCTCCAAGAAATCAATGTTAGTGACAACTGTTTTCCAAATAATTAAGATAAGTTCCCTACTGTTTTAAAAAAGTACTTAGTCCTGTGAGTCCCCAGACAAAACTTTTAATCAGCTGAGTCTTTTTTCTTTTGTAGGTGCCAGCATTGGGGCTTGACCTCATACTCGAGCTTTGTCACTCAAGGCTTTTTCACTCTACCACTTGGGCCACAGCTCCACTTCTGGCCTTTTGCTGGAGATAAGAGTCTTTCAGATTTCTCTGCCCAGGATAGCTTCAAACTCAGATCCTCAAATTATCAGTGTGAGTCACCAGTACCATTCAAAATGAGGCCTTTTTACCAGCAACTAGACCTTTACTCCAGTCCACCTCCCAAGAATTGTTATAGTTCATAGAGTCCTTTTGCTTTGAACAATACCTCCACCTTGTGGATGGATATGTATCATGCCATTAAGATCACGTCTGCTGTAGTGTACACTTTGAATTTTATTTTATAATGTCTCTGAAAAAACTATTAGTCATAAAGGTTCAGACTCTTTCCCCCTTCCATTATTATTACCTTTTTGGAGCTGTACACAATGTGGCACAATATGCATTTTCGTTCCCGTACCATAGTGATCAGATCTGAAGCACTCAACGTCATACCTGCAATGAGGACATAACATTTAGTAACCCTTCCCTCATAGAAACGTTTAATTCATCTTAACATGGCCAATAATGTAGGGCCACTCTACTCCGCCCCCAGATTTTGCATCTCAATAAATGGAAATTCCTATTTTCCAGGAGTCTAAGCTGACTCTGAGAGTCATCCTGGCTCCCTTTCTCATCCCATTAGCCTCTCTCATCAGCAAACCTTGAGTCCTACTTTATTCCAACTACCTCTCCCATAGCCTCTGCCTATGACCTGACTCCCTGGTGTCTACTGTTCCCTTGCAGTCTATTCTAGAAACTTTAACCCAAGATTCTCAAAATAGGATATTTTTCAAATTCAGTTAGATCATTTTATTCCTTGGCTGGGAATCTCTCAATGGCTTCCTAACTTACTTACAAAACTCCAAGTCCCTGTCATCACCAACAGTCTTGTTCTCATTTCCTGTCCACTGTCCCACTATTACTCCTTCTCAGGCATACTGCTCTCCTGCTATTCCTTCAGCACAGGATTCTCACACCTTAGGGCTCTACACTGCCTGTTCTCTCTTCCTGGAATATTCACTAAGATTTCCTTATGGCTTTCACGGCTCACATTCTCATTTCTATCAGGTGTGTAGGGGACGCCTTAATGGGGAGGCCTTCTCTGAACCCCTATAATTTTTTATATTGTCTACCGTTCCTCACTCTTCTTACTCCCTCTTTACCTCCTTATGGTTTGCATAGCTCCTGAGTCAGTCATTTTCCATAAATGGCCAAAACAATATTGTCATTTTGCCACCACCTGCCTAAGACATGTCTTTCCCCTCCTGTCACTGAGCATCCATATAGTGACAGAGTACCATGCCAGCCATGAGTGAGCCACGAGCCTTCTGGAGGTTTCTAAATTGATTAAATCTTCCTGAGTAATTGGCTTCTTAATCATTAGAGAATGATCTCATTATGTCTGGCAATACTTTTTTATTGGGGGGCTGGAGTTTGAACTTGGGTCCCATCCTGGGTTCTGTCCCTTAGCTTTTTCAATCAAGACTAGCACTCTTAACACTTGAGCCACAGCTCCACTTCTGGCTTTTATTTGTTGTTGTTGGTTAAGTAGAGATAAGATTCTCATAGACTGTCTTGCTAGACTGGCTTTGAATCATGAATCTCAGATCTCAGCCTCCTGTGTAGCTGGGATTACATTACAGGCAAGAGCCACCAGCACTTCTGGCAATACTATTTATTTTAAAGTCTATTTTATCCGATATTAATATAGATCCTTCAGCTTTCTTACACTTATTGCTTGTGCAGCTATCAGCACTATTCATCTCCATAACTAATTTTGTCCTAAGAAAGTCAAACTCTGTATCCATTAAATAATAATTTCCCATCTCCCCTTCTCTACCCTGGCAACCAAGTTCTACTTTCCATCTCTATAATTCTATCTTCCACAAATATTCGAAGCCCATACATTGACACTATATATATATATATATATATATATATTATAAAAAATCCCAATGATTGCAATATGCATATCCTTTTTGAACCCTTTTTCATTTTGTCTTGGAGATCACTGAATATTAGCACATACAGAGCTGGCTTATTCTTCCTAACAATTAAAAAGAATCACCTGACATGTTTTGACAGTCTTTTTTTTTTAAGCTGTAGGGAGGTTTGAACTCAAGGTCTTGAGCTGACTAGGCTGGTGCTCTATCACACTTCCTCCCTTGCTTTTTTTGCTGGCTTATTTTGGAGATAGAAGTCCTAACCAATTAACTGATCTACCCAGTCTGGCCTGGATCCTTAATCCTCCAAATCTTAACCTCCTGAGTAGCTAAAATTAACATGTATGATCAGCCACTATTGCTTAGCTTTGATGTCTCCTTTAGATTTTTTTTTCTTCTTTCTTTTTTTAGTCAGTCGTGGGGCTTCAACTCTGGGCCTGGCCACTGTCCCTGAGCTCTTCAGCTCAAGAACATTCTACCACTTGAGCCAGAGCCACTTCTGGTTTTCTGGTGGTTAATTGGAGATAAGTGTCTCATACTTTCCTGCCTGGGCTGGCTTTGAAGGGTGATCCTCAGATCTCAGCCTCCAGAGTAGCTAGGATTACAGGCAAGAGCCACAGGCTCCCAGGTCTCCTTTAGATTTTTAAAAAGGGGTGGGGCAAGGGGAAGGGTTTCAACAGGGCATATGGTCCAAGTAGTAGACATTTGATAGAGCACTTGCCAATAAAGTATAAGGCACTGAGTTCAAACCTCAATTCCATCAAATAAACAGAGATCATGCAAAAGAAAACCATAATAAACTACAAGTTTTCAAACAGCAATTCATTCAACATGCTAAATATGTAATTAAGGGTTCTCATAAGTAACCTGTTTGTCTAGATGCTTTTATTCACTGGCTATACAAATGAATCTTATTTTTCATTGTTAATCTAAATGTAAAACACAATATGTATACCCCTCACAGATCCCAGAACCAAGTCTACTGACATCAACCACTGTTTCTTGCTTTTCTTTAGGCTATATCTGCCCTAATCTAGATGTATAGCAATCACTACTTTTTCCTTTTTTTTTTTTTTGGTCAGTTGTGTGGCTTTAACTCAAGGCCTGGGTGCTGTCCCAAGGCTAACACTCTACCACTTTGAGCCACTGCACCACTTCCAGTTTTTGAGTGATTAATTAGAGATTAGTCTCATGGGAACTTTTCTGCCTGGGCTGGCTTTGAACCATGATCCTCAGATCCCAGCCCCTCCTGAGGAGCCATCAACAGCCAGGAGCCACCAGCATCTGGCCACCACTTCTTCCTCTTTAAATGTGTGTGTGTGTGTGTGTGTGTGTGTGCGCGTGCATGCGCGCGCACACACACACGCCAATACTGAAGCTTGAATTCAGGGCCTAGGGACTGTCCCTTAGCTGTTTCTACTCAAGGCTGGTACTCTTACCACTTGAGCCATAGTTCTTTTTCTTGTGTTTCGTGGGTTAACTGGGTATAAGAATCTCATAAGGAGCCGGGCACTGGTGGCTCACGCCTGTAATCCTAGCTACTCAGGAGGCTGAGATCTGAGGATCGCGGTTCAAAGCCAGCCCGGGCAGGAGAGACCATGAGACTCCTATCTCCAATAAACCACCAGAAAACCGGAAGTGGCGCTGTAGCTCAAGTGGTAGAGCGCTCGCCTTGAGCTGAAGAGCTGAGGAACAGCGCCCAGACCCAGAGTTCAAGCCCCACAACTGACAAAAAAAAAAAAAGAATCTCACAAGGGCTGAGAAGGTGGCTCAGTGGTAGAGTGCTTGCCTTGCAAGCATGAGGCCCTGGGTTCGATTCCTCAGCACCACATAAGCAGAAAAAGCTAAAAGTGGCCCTGTGGCTCAAGTGGTAGAGCGCTAGTCTTGAGCTAAAGAGCTGAGGGACAGCGCCCAGATTCAGAGTTCAGGCCCCATGACCGACAAAAAAAAAAAAAAGAATCACAAATTTCCTGACCGACCAAGCTGTCTTCAAACTACAATCTTCAGATCTCAGCCTCCTAAGAAGGTAGGATTATAGGAGTGAGCCACTGGCGCCCAAATGTTAATGGATTCTAAACCAGCCAGGTTGGATTCTTTCACATTTTCCCCAGGCCATTTTGAAATTGTCTTTAAAAACTACTTAAGGCTGGGGGGCAGGGACATGGCTCAAAGTAAGAAGTCTTGAGTTCAAACTCTAGTATCATAAAAACAAAAGGAAAATAAATCAAAGAGCCAGGCACTGGTGGCTCACTCCTGTAATCTATCTACTCAGGAGGCTGAGATAGGTTCAAAGCCAGCCAAGGCAGGCAAGTCCATGAAACTCTTACCTCCAAGTAACCACCCCCAAAAAAGAACAACCACCACAAAAAAAACTAGAAGCGGAGCTGTAAATTAAGTGACAAAAGTGTTAGCCTAGGGCAAAAAAGCTCAAGCACCAGGATCAACGTGCTCACATGCACTCAAGCATGCACGCACGCGCACAAACACACACAGAGCTCCCAGACACACACACACCTCCCAGAACCCACACACACACACACACACACACACACACACACACACACCCCTCCCAGAACCCACACACGGAGCTCCCAGACACACACACACACACACACACACACACACACACAAGCACCAGGATCAACGTGCTCACATGCACTCAAGCATGCGCGCACACGCACGCGCACAAACACACACAGAGCTCCCAGACACATACACACCTCCCAGAACCCACACACACACAGAGCTCCCAGACACACACACACACACACACACACACACACACACACACACCCCTCCCAGAACCCACACACGGACCTCCCAGACACACACACACACACACACACACCCCTCTCAGAACCCACACACGGAGCTCCCAGACACACACACACACACACACACACACCCCTACACACACACACACACACACACACACACACACACACACACACACACACACACACACACACACACACACACACACACACACACACACACACACACACACACACACACACACACACACACACACACACCCTCCCAGAACCTGGCATCGTCACCAAAGAGCTAAGCCACCTACTCAGGAGGTGCTAGTAGGATCACAAATTCCAAGCCAGTTTGAACAAAGGCAGAGGAGAACCTATTTCTAAATCAAAATACAAACAAAAGGGCTAGGGGTGTGGCTCCTGTGAAAGAGTACTTTAAACTCAAGGCTTCAATCCTTTCAATCCCCTTTACCAGAAGGAAAAACAAAGTTCCTAAAGCCAGGAGTGAGGGTTTACACACCTAATCTCAGTACTGGAAAATGAAACAGAAGGATCTTGAATTCAAGGCCAGTATGGGCTGAGTTCTCAGCTAGCCTGAGTTGGGTATTTGTGTGTGTGTGCACGCGCACGCGTGTGTGCTTCTCCTACCATTCTCTGATTGCACTCTAGAAACTTTTTTTTTTTTTGGGTCCGGTCGTGGGGCCTGAACTCTGGGCCTGGGCGCTGTCCCTCAGCTCAAGGCTAGCATTCTACCATTTGAGCCACAGCGCCACTTCCGGCTTTTTTCTTTTTGCTTATGTGGTGCTGAGGAATCGAACCCAGGGCCTCAGGCATGCAAGGCAAGCCCTCTACCACTGAGCCACCTTCCCAGCCCCTAGAAACTATTTTAACAGTTTGCTTTCTCAGTACAAGTACTTAGAATATCTAACACCCACTTCAGTGTAACAGAAAAAAAGGTGAGCTTCGGCAGTATATTAGATTAATTTTACCAATTACCCTAGCAAGATAAGCAGAATCTCAAAAACCTCAACTGAAATATGCTGCCAGAACCCCCCCCCCCAAAAAAAAACCCACCTATCATCCATTACAAGATCTCATTAAATTTCTGTGACACACCTGAGTGTACTGGCAAATGTGTAGTAGCTGACAAGTCCCAAGTTTCATTCTGAGCCAAACTTGACTTCAGAGCTTAATACAAATTGTAAGATTTCCCATAGAATTGAGAACCATGCCTAAACTCTTACCTAGTAACCTTAAATCAACTCATGAAGCCATTACCGTGATAAAGCAACTCATTTGCTAGGAAAGAAGAAAACCTTTTTTTTTTTTTCCCCTCCTTGCTTCCATTTCCGGGAGTTCATTTCGATAAATAGTATTTTGTACGATCAGAATGGTAGAGGCCTTACGTCTTTATGTTCCTACGAGTATCCTTCCCAGGGAAAACAAACAAAAGCAAAACTTCTTGTAACTATAAAGGTTGACAACCTCAAGTGGACGGGTAAAATCTCCAGCTTCACGATCAAATAGCTCAATTTTCCTCTGAGAGAGAATGTATGAACCAGATTGAAGGGAAAGAGCATTTCCTCTCTGGAATCGCTCCCCGAGAGTGGTGCTAACTATTAGAAAACGCACACACGGGAAACGCTCCATAATTAGTTGCTATGAAGAGACGACGTATCCCACCACCGAAGAGTGAGGATGAGAAGAAAATGGGGGGCGGGGGTAGGTGGGGGGAAGGAAAAGAACGGAGATTGTCAGTCGAATGGTCTGAAACCCACCATCACTTGAAAGTACTAGGGTCCCGGAGTTCCCCAGCGCCCCCCCGCACATGCATCCAGCCCGGAGGAGGAGGAGGAGGCCCGAAGTCGCCTCAGCGACCTCCCCGCGGAGGTCCCGGCTTCGGGGCCGCGCTCCCTCCGGAGGCCGTGTGTGAGGAGAGCCGGAACGCCCCCGAAGAGGGTCCGTACCCCGCGGCCACACGCGCCCGCCCGCCCGCCGGGAGGAAAACTCCGCGCGCGAGGGAGACGGGCGTGGGTTCCCCGCGTCGCGGCCTGCGGGAGCGCCCCGACCTCCCTCCCGCCCCCCGCACGGCCCCGCAGCCTCACCCCTGCACCTCAGGACAGACCGCCCCGCCGGGCGCGGCCCCGCAGGCCGGCCCCTCCAGACTCACATTCACAGCCGACCCTTCTTCTTACTCCATCAGGCCTCCCGAGAGTCCCGGCGAGGAGGCTCCCCCCACCCGGAGACACCCCTCTCGCCTTTTTCTGGGTCCCGCGGCCCGCCCGGGACCCGCTCCCCACACCTCGCTTCCCTCTTCCCTCTCCCCGCTCCCCCGCCGGGCACTGAGGCCGCCGCCACCAGTGCGCAGGCGCACACTGCCGCCGCCGCGTCGTCGCGCTCCTCCCGCCTCCTACCCCGCCCTTTTCAAAGACTTTTTAACTTTATTTGAACACCAGAGGGTGAACAATGGACAACAGGGGAAGAAGCTTTCTGCCAAAGGAATGGAGGAAGTGGAAGGCCTGCCACACCTCGCCTGGGGTCGAACCTTTTTCCATTCGCCTTGCTCTTTCTGACCTCCACCCTCTCTCTCTAGTTTCTACTCTTTTCCCAAGTCTCTCATTATTGGCAGTCACTTTTGACTGCTTTTATTTTGACTACATTTCCGAACCACCCCTCCCTTGTGAAATTTCCTGGAGTTGGCTGCAAAGGTACAAGAATTTAGCACTGACAGACCCTGAGTAAAAATGTTAACCCTAGGGCCTGGGAAGGTGACTCAGTGGTAGAGTGCTTGCCTTGCATGCATGAGGCCCTGGGTTCGATTCCTCAGCACCACAGAAGCAGAAAAAGCCGGAAGTGGCACTGTGGCTCAAATGGTAGAGTGCTAGCCTCGAGCTGAAGAGCTGAGGGACAGCGCCCAGGCCCAGAGTTCAGGCCGCACAACTGACCAAAAAAAAGAGTTAACCCTAGCTGGTAATTTTTGCCTTTGGATAAATTACAAATTGTTTTGAACCTTCAGCTTTGTAAGTGAAAAAAAAAATTAAGATAATACCATCTTAGTTCACAAGATGTTTTTAGGACTCATGAGAATGAGGTCTAGTATCTATCAAAGACCAGACATTTCATAAATACTAGTGATTATATTCTTACCCAAGATATCTCTTTATTACTAAACCTAGCCCATTCCCTGGGAATCCTATTTCAGTGACTAAGACGAGTCAGACAAAGTTACATTAAGATTAATAATGATGTGAACATACAGTTGAGACTCAAATGTTTCCCTAGAACTTCAATGCCCCAGATCAAAATAAGCAGCTACGTCTATCCATGCATGTGTAAAGTCAGGTTGCCTTCTGGAGGTTTAGAAAACTCTTCCAATTCTGTATTTGTGACATCACAAGTCCTTGGACCACTCAAGCGAGGTCTATGGTATGCTGCTTAGTCCACTCTCTTGTACAGGCATGCACCAGAAGTGCATGGGCCTATAAGCTCAGGGCCATAGTAAGGCCTATAGAAAATCAAGGTCAGATGTTGGTGAGCACCAAGGTAACCCTAGATCAATGTTCCTCCACCTTTAGGACATTGTTTGGAGAAGGTAATTCTTTATTTTCAACAGCTCTCCTGTGATAAGATGTTTACCAGCATCTCTGGACACTCAGTGCCAGTACTACTCCATGTGCTCTCCTTATCATCAAAGTAATAAAAAATGTCTCCAGACTTTGCCAACTATTCTCCGAAGGATTAAGTTGTCCCTGTGTGAGAACTATGATATTATATCCATGATTGGCCCAACACCAAAGGAACCCACCTCTACCATCAAGAACTGGTTACTGCTTGGGAAAACTACACAGGAGAAGAGAAATTGGTGAGTTTGTTGCTACCAGTCTTAAATAGGTCCTTAACTCTGCTGGCCAATACTACTGCTTTTCTCTGCTACATTTGTTCTATTACTTTCCAGCTCAGTATTCCAAATCCTGTCAGCTTCCTTAAAACTTCCAACACTACCATTGTCTCTTTATACTTTTGTGGTACCTAGAGATTGCACTAACACTTGAATTATGTTCCCAAGCTCTCTCTTCCTCACCCCCCTTTTTTTTTCTAGGGCTTGAACTCAGGGCTTGGACACTGAACTTGAGCTTACTTGTTCAAGAATAGTGCCCTACTCTTTGAGCTACAGCCCCACTTCCTTTTATTATGTTTTAATTTTTGTAGTTAATTGGAAAGAAGAGTCCCAGGGACTTTCCTGCTCGGTCTAGCTTTGAGCTGTGATTTTCAGATCTCAGCCTCCTGAATAGCTAGGATTATTCAAGCAACCCAGCTCCTCTCCCTTTTTTGAGATAGGTTCTCATTGACTTTTTCTGGCTGACCTCAAATTCCAAGTCCTCTTATTTCTACCTCCTAAGGGTGCACCACCACAGGTTGCATACCTCTTTTTTAGTAAGCAGATGACTTGTTTCGTATTTCATAGAGAATTTTAACTTCCTGTTACTAATCCTACAAGCTTACAAATACTTCCTCTCACAACGATGGAGGAACTTTCATTTCTCTTCTACCACCATTTGACCATTACTTTCACCAGGACATTCAATTGCCAATGTTCTTACCCTCTCAAGATCTTTATCGACTGACTCTTTCTTTCTTTCTTTCTTTTTCTTTCTTTCTTTTTCTTTCTTTCTTCCTTTGTTTTCTGAGGCTTAAACTCAGTACCTTGAGCTTGCTAGACAGGCACTCTACCACTTGAGCGCTGCTCCCAGCCCTTTTCGCTTCTAATTATTTTTTGTATAAAGGATTTTGTACTTTTTGTCCAGAGTTGATCCCAGACCAAGATCTTCCTACCTACAGCCTCCTGTCTTGTGTGTGTGTGTATGTGTGTGTGTGGGGGGGGGGGTCATAAATGTACACAATACCCAGCTTATTTTGTTGAGGCCTGAGCCACCATATTCAACTCATTACTAGCTTGCTTGCTTCCTTCCTTCCTGGGGCTTGAACTCTGGGCCTGGGTGCTGTCCCTGAGCTCTTCAGCTCAACGCTAGCACTCTACCACTTGAGCCACAGTGCCACTTCTGGTTTTCTGGTGGTTAATTGGAGATAAGAGTCTCATAGCCTTTGCTGCCTGGGCTGGCTTTGAACCGCGATCCTCAAATCTCAGCCTCCTGAGTAGCTAGGATTACAGGCATGAACCACTGGCGCCGGGCTCACTACTAGCTTTTTAAAACTCATTTCCCCCCAACATTCAACGATATGAGCTCTAAACCTCTCACAAGGATGAACTACAAGAAATTTCCATTAATCGCCACACTATGTTGTTGTTGGGGGGGGGGGGGGGGAAGCATATGTTTGATCCCAAGACCTGGGAAACTCTTTATTTCCCTCGTTCTCAGATGTCAGGGTGGGGTGGGGGAGAACTCCATTCATTCATCATGACTTCAAAATCACTTTTTCCCATTAACTCTGCAAACAGCCCTAACATGAGCCAGGGGTGCCTCGGATTTCCTATTTGCCAGCCTCCATGTTCCATCCACGGCAATCTGACCTAGCACAAACAGAAACCCTTGTGGTCAGGGAAGTCATCCCGACCGGCTTTCCTCGGCGATCGCGGCCTACTTATAGGCACCGGGCTCGCCCTCCCTCCCAGCTGCCGGCGGGACGAGGATCTCCCGGGTTAACCGGTGAGTTCCCAGGCTGGCCGCCGGCGTGGCAGGGAGATTTAAACCCCTCGCGCGGTGATTGGCTGTAGCTGCCGGGGGTGTGTTGGCGACCGCGGCGCCCAAGAAGTGCGCATGCGCGTGCGGCCGCCCCCTCGCGCGCGCAGGCGCGACCAGGGTTCAGTGCCTGGGTCTGGTCAGAGTGTCCGAGCTGGCGGCTGTGGAGGGGAGTGTCCGGAACCGCTCGGTGAGCCTCCAGAAGTGGGGTCTGTGGGAGCTAGCTGGGCGGGGAGGAGGAGGGGGGCGGAAATTTGAGGTGATATCCCGAGGGTGAAAGGATGTACTGTGTCGGTTGGAGAGTGTGTGGGGTCGGGCTTGAGGGGAGCGGGGCGGAGGGGGGGGGGGCGGGCGCTCCAGCCCAGACTCCCCGGGTTGGGCCCGGAAGGAGGACGCCGGGCGCTGTAGACTATGAAGGGCCCAGGGGAGACGAGGGGACCAGATGGGGGGCCCGGCTGGACGACCAGATGGGAGGGCCCGGCGGAAAGTGGGGGGCAGATAAGGGTCCTGGCGGAGACTATAGGGGGTCCAGATGGGGGGGGGCCAGCGGAAAGTGGGGGTTCCAGATGGGGAGCCCGGCGGAGACTTGGGGGTTCCAGATGGGAGCCCCAGCGGAAAGTGGAGGCCAGGTGAGGGGCCTGGCGGAGACTCCCAGTCCAGATGGGGGGGGGCGGCGGAAATTGGGGAGCCAGATGGGGTGGCTGGAGGCGCCGGTGGAGACGGGGTTGACTTGGGGGACTCTAGAAGAAGGGCCAGCGGAGACAGGGGGCGACATAGGGGCGGGTGTGTGGGGGGGGACTGGGCTCTTCCTGAAAGCCAAGCAAAAATCACCTCTTAGTAACCTAACTTCCAAGCCTTCCAGCGTTTGCTGCTTAAGATTAATAAGATGGACCAGTGATTCCAATGATCAGATAAGAGAATAGTTCTGGGATAATTGGAGGAGGAGGAGGAGGACTCGGAGGTTCATGCCACCTTGCTGTCTAGGAAAGCCCAGCCAGCCAGCCTTTGCTGCTTTCCCCTCTGGCCACACAAAGAAATGGATCAGTTGAGCTGGGCGCCGGCCCGTCATCCTAGCTCCTCAGGAGGCTGAGACCTCAGGTGATCGCGGTTCAAAGCCAGCCCAGGCAGGAAAGTCCATGAGACTCTTATCTCCAGTTAACCACCAGAAGACCAGAAGTGGCACTGTGGCCTCAGGTGGTAGAGCAATCGCCTTGAGCTGAAGTAATGTGTGGTGTGTGTGTGTGTGTGTGTTGAAGTAGTTTCATTTTGTGAGGGTTTTTTTTTTTTTTCTGCCCTTAATCATTAGTCATATGAATGTTAGGAAAGTAGCTGATGATAGAAGAAACCAAAAGCCATCAAATTTGGGAGGGAAATAACTGACGAGAAGGGCTTATCATTTTACCGTTATCATTTTACTTTTCTAGAGTGGAGTTAGGCTGGGAGACCTGGTGACTGAGAGGGAAGATTAGATATTAGCAGCTTTCTAACTGTACCTAAAGCCTCAGGAAAATAATATTTATTAGCAGGTATTTTAAGAATTGAAAGGAACCGTTTTTTTTTGTTTGTTTGTTTTTTTGCCAGTCCTGGGGCTTG